TTACGTCCGTTGTAGAATGGATGGTCACGATAAACGACGATGTTTAGGCTTGATAGAATACAATTCTTCATAATTAAGCAGAACTTTTTTTTCAAATCAAAAATTTATGTGCATTCTTGAGTACAAGTGTTAAGGTGGTGTGCGCTATCAATCGTAAATAAGTATCAAAAACTCTACCTTACACGAACATGCATTTTTCTCGTCTTCTTTGGCAGCATCAACATCTTGATTATCGTAGAGCAAACCTCGCTTGTTTCGATGCCTTAAGATCTTCGTGGCATAGATTTGTTTGTTTTAGCTTCACGCGCGCGTGTGGCAAAGCGGTCACAAGGAAATTTACCGTTCAGTTGTAGTGGGGGATCGGGCGGATCGCACACCTCATCCCGGTCCAAAGCATTTTGATTGGTGGACACAAACTGGGATGGGTGACTAGCAATAGCGCACCTAACCCCAGTAAGCAGCATCGATATCACTTGGGACAAGGCTAGATGACAGTGGGACCAGTTGGATTGCGTAATTCATCGTGAGATAGGGCAAGGGAAGATTCGTCATCCCTCACCTAGGGAATTCGATCCTGGGTTAGGATCCTGATCCTGACTTAAGATCACGATCCGGACCTAAGCTCGCGATCCGGACCTAAATTCGCGATCCGGACCCAAGATCATGATGCGGACCCAAGATCACGATCCGGACCCGAGATCACGATCCGGCCCTAGGATCGCGATCCGGGCCTAAGATCACCATCCGGTGCAAGATCACGATCCGGGCCTAGGATCGCTATCCCGACCTAGATGACGATCCGAAGTAAAGTGGTGGTGATATCTCGGGTGGACTACAAGAAGATTTGACTGCTGATACACCTGATGTGGGCTACACCAATACGAGAGGACGATCCTCCTGAAACATGGACGCGTGGCATCCGGTTAGGTTAGGATATACGGATAAGGCAGAGGGGTAGGTTATAGGTTGATTGGTTAGCATTAAAGGGAATTCAATTTACTTCTTAAGACGCACGCCACCTCTTCCGGGCAGGATATTTGGCCTCCCGAAGAAAAAAGAGTCGCGTTACCCGTCCATATTAGTGTCGCGTTACCCGTCCATATAAGTGTCGCATCTGGATTGTCTGGTCAAGAATTTTCAGGAACTACAGCTGCGATCCGACGCAGCAAGACACGTAAACGCAGGGCACAAGATCGTGAGACGGCTCAAGTGGTCAGAAGTCTCGCGTATCAAGAACCCACACAGTGGGCAAGGCGATCTCGTTGAGATCAGGGTAACTGATATCAGTACCCCACCGATACCCAAGTGATCGCGCGAAGATTCCCGCCCGATCACACAAACCCATCTCCGACACGGCCAATTTTTCACTTGACACGAGTTTACCTGGAAGAGTGCAACCCACATTACCGACGGGTACACAAGGTGAGGAAAGCAATATACACGGAATTGGAGTACCCCCTCTGTTAGTCGGTCTTCTGGGCGCCAGTGGAGAGTCGGGATCGTCTCAAGAATTGAGCGATCACCACTCCACCACAAAATACTAGGCGCACTCGCAGCTAGCATAACTCCTCGAGAATAGATGGATGCGTGTTTGCGCAGTCGCAAGTTTCATGTGTAATCTAGTAATGACGAAGGTGAAGACAGCAACCGTCACGACAACAAAGCGAAAATGGAGTCCAACACTTCGAGGAACACTGATCAATTCCCTGCTACGCCGACTGACCCTTTCACAAAGATGATATGTTGATCGCGATTACTCCACATATGCAACCTAAAAAATTGGTAGCCATGACACCTCCGCGGTGGAACCGGATGCAAGCCTCTTGGTTGTTAGTTTCGACGGATCGGCGCGAATCAAGCGCAAGAGTGGGACATTTAACGCGATCGTATGAAAACTACCAGTATGGACGATTGTTGCGGCCGCTTTGGAATACGCAGCGGATCTGATGGTGATTGAAGCCGAATCTAGCGGCATGTTACGGTGTTTCGATCTGCTAGATGGCCAGACTATGGTTCGAGTCATTATATGTGGTGACTCGAACTTAGTGATCCGGCAAATGCGGGGTGAGATGGATTGTAAAGCGCCCGGGTTACAGTTATTGTGTCCCAAGGCAATGCAGAAACTTCGATAATGTCCGAAGCACGAGTTCCTACATATGAAGCGAGAATGGAATCAGAGTGCGGATCTACTAGCCAGCGTAGCCTTGCAGAATGAAAAGGGAATAACTGTGCGGACTGAAGAAGATCGGCGAGATCTGACTACGTTGAACCGTACGGGTGAATTATTGACGCCTAAGCCGGACGACCCAATCGCACGAATAACCACGATCACGAGATCGTCTGGAAAGAGACACCTTCAGGCTGAAGTGTTACAGGAAGAGGTGGTGCAGAAGATGAGAATTCGATGAATTGGTCAGGCTCAGGACGAAGAACATTAAATCGTCAATCTGAAGAAGTAACTGAATGGCGATGTATCCGGTATGGACGCAGGAGGAGCGAAGACGTGTACAAAACTAGCGCCCGAGTATGAGATTGATCGGAACGACCAGTTATTTTTCTTCCATACAGCGAAGAGAGAATTAGAAGATCGCGATGGTCTGATGCGTCTGGTGATCCCAGAGACGTTGCAACAAGACTTTCTGCACCATTACCGCGCTAGTCTGGAAGGAATCCACCAAGGTATTGGCAAGACATGTCAGACGATCAGATCGAGATATCATTGGAGAGGGTTGTACCGGAGTGTGCAACGACATGAAGGCGAATACACCGATTGCGAAACGGGAAAGGGACGTCCGAAGATCCAGGGAGATCGCCGGGTAACTCACAAGCAACCTGTCCAATCCAGATTATTGCTATGAACCATATACCGTCGTTGTCCAAGACCTTCAAAGGAAACACGCAGTTGCTGGTTTGGGTAGATCTTAAGCATAAGAGAGATGTTAGTAGCGTTGGCGTGTGAGATTACGACGGGTAGATCAAGAATTACAACTCAGGGACAGACATGTAGCTCAGTCTATAGTATCGGTTGTTGAGTGTCAGGCGCTCGGGCGATGACAAGCACAGCGACAAGTTCTGTAATCGAATGCGATACATGTACGAAAACGACAACAACGAAAGATAGGAAGACAAATGGAACAATTGCAACTTGTTCGGAGATATGCTTAGCACTTGTCACTTGCGAATGTCTTCGACTGCTGGTAGAGGTCTCTGCCGTGGTAATTTTCACACACTTGAGCGCAACATCCGCTGACGGTTTACGATCGTAGAGATGGCGTATGTAGGCAAAAATTGTCGCAGCAGTCCTGAAAGTGGAGTGGATTTCCGCACGCCTTGGTCTCAAGACTTCAATGACACAATAAAATCTGGCCAGAAGCAGAACCAGAGTGCACGGCAGCGATGAGGACAGCAATGACTGAGAGGAGACACATTCTTGTTAGCAAACAGAGCCGTGGGCTTTCGCGTTAAACTGTGTGAGGTAAATTACGGAATGACGCATAAAAAGGGAAGTGCCCAGGACCTTGCGACACATTGGATGCCGTCGACCCAAGCATACAAAGGAGAAGATAAATCTATCGTCGGAGCACGGCATACAAAGAGGAAGATGAAATCCATCGCAGAAGCACGGTAGTGGCATTGCGCAAACAAGACGAGGCTTTAGTGGGTGGCGATGGCTTGGCTCTGCGATCTCGTTTCCCTTTGGCCGTCATGGACTGAACAAGTCTCAAGAAAAGAGCGACACGTGCGTCGTCAAGATCTAGCGTCAGGATGGGGTCGTTGGTAAACCAATTCAGAGGAAAAGAAGCGCAACGTGTCCTGGAAACAGTGGATCACCACTTGCAAAAAGCCTCGTATTGCGCAGACAATGCGAGTCTATTGTGGGTTGCGATTAGATGGGTTGGAGCCCATTCTGTACGATTTGACATTTTGTCTCATTTTACTCACAAGCATCAAGCCACAGCCTTTCGGTACCACTCTTTTGACCGGTTCTTTTTCATGTAAAACAGCAAGTGTGCCGCAATACTTTCCAGAACGTGACAACCTGTCTTTTATACCTTCAAAGCGACAATCTAGTCTGACCGAAGCAGATGCAGTAGAGCAGTTGGCACGAATCTCATCAGTTAAAGCAGCCACAATGCCGGATACAGTGGACGCCCGATTTTACCGATTTGGTCAGAGAATGTTCTCGTAACCTTCTGGACGCGCTGTTGAGGAATCTGAAAGGTGCTTCAAGCGTCGGCGCTCATCGTTGAATCTACGAGGCCCTTGCCGTCCTGGCGTTCATGACAAAATCGCTGTCTACAACTCGAATCGGAGCATTTGGGTCCACGGGCTTTGGGTGGTATTTTTTGCGCAGTACAGAGATGTGTAGGTTTAAATGCTACCATCAGTACCAAGTGCTACGCAAGGAACTGTAATCAATGAGATCACTGTAAGACGTCGACGGTGAACATGTACGTCGCGATATCGAGTTTGAAGGTCTCGAATACAAGAGATCGAAGGCGCTGCATTTACACGATGCGATTGAGAAGTCAAAAGCGTTCAGACGCTGCAAGCATAACTAGACCAAAACGTCACCTGCAGTGGTGGTAGGCGCTGCAATCCTAGTCAAAACGGGGATAATCATGTGAGCGTACCCTTAGTGGATACAGCAATCGTCGTCGGTGTAATTATTTCAGCTAATTGACAATCTCCCGTTATCCATGGGCTGTTACCGTTAAACCATACCAAGCTTGCCCTCAGATTTACCTGTCATCGCAGCAGCAAAAAGACAGGTACGACCAATGTTTCCGACAACCGGCGTTTCGATTTCCATCATGCGTTGTTGGGAGTACACACGACAAGCAGTTCAAACGGTTACAGGTCTCGACCAAGTCTTGTGAGCCACGTCACTAATGCAAGAGACCACTCAAGTGACGTCGCGTTCGTCCTGGCTAATCAATTCGCTATCAAATCCCAATTGCGCTTTTCAAGTCCATCCTCGGAGTTCCTTCTAAATCGTGATGGTCCGGAATATTAGCAGTGCTCGCCCCCGTCGCACTATCAGTGATTTTGTGCAAGCCGAAGACGCGGCAGAGGACGAGATCCTTGAGACGCTAGCACTCAGCTCCGTTGCAGTCGCTGGCAGCTGTCACAACAGGAAGAGACAATGACAATGACACCGTCGAAGCGGAAGCTGTGATTGAGCGTCAACTTGTGGCTGAGGCACAGGTAGAAGCAGCGTGTAGTTAGAGCTCCAGAAAGACGTGAATACCAGAGAGAAAGAGGGTGTACAATACCGAGGTGCTGCCGGTGCTGGTGTAGGCGTGAGCCGTCAAGCAGCGTCGGAAATCGACACGCGGAGACACGTACTGTCGTCGAATCCTTCATCACGAACTGCACGTTGCCTCCTCTTTCTCCACGTCCTGATCCAAAACAGCAGACTAACTCTGTCGCGCTCGCGCACAATACTATTATCGGCATCGCTGTCATCATAGACTTGTCATTATTCACCGCCTTTGCATCTGATATATCATCAGGTTGCTGTTTGCACGTATCCAGAAGTCTGACGGGTTCTCCTACTTTCGCCCTGGATGAAAAGCGTTTGGAGCGCTTCACTGCGACTTCTAAGGCTCACACGCTCCACGATTTTCTTGACGCTGCGTGACCGAATCTGTAACGGGCACCCTTTGTCTGGGTGCCACGAAAATTCACGTACACTAGTACGTGCAAAGGAAGCTAATCTACTTGCATGACTCGTTCAAGTAATGGTAAAATGAGTACTGTATTCAATTTAGTTTAGCTATCAATATGTCTTTAATTCTTATCTAATTATTTTAAACTTCGTCGTCGTATGACGACAACCTAATCACCACTCATTGCGCGCGTCTAGCAGCATCGGTGGCGATCTATGGTTGATATGTCTTATATCAACCAATCTGGGAGCACCGCATGAATATTATTAAAAGTAGATAACATTCCTTAAATATTATCTATTTCGGACAATATTGGTAGGATTTGTCATGATTGACAATATCTCTATTGACACCGTTTGGTATCAATTTTATGTAACGGGCTACCCCGTTACATCACCCCCCTCCTTAACCATCCACCACCCGTTGATTGAATTAGAATTGATTGGGACGGAGTGAAGACCGTTGGAGAACACTGGGAAAGAGAGCACTTGTTAGTCAAATCCCATTCATATTCCAATCCAATGCATGCTTTCATAAACCACGGAAGTTGCTACTGCAGCAGCAAGAAGGGCGGCTGCACGCATACGTGCGGCCGCGGAAAGCGCCTTTCACACCTCAGCAGCAGGTGATTCGTCATCTGTTGTTGTTAATTGTCCATGTGGTGAGTCACCACGTGCGACAGGTACATCTGTTGCGTCTGCAGCGGGTACCACGAGTCGTAATCAAGATGAGTTTGAGATAGATCTCATCTATTCTGGCATCATCCGAATCGAAGGCGACACCTCAAGCCTCTAGATCACGCGGGGCGGACACTGCAAGAGCCAGGTTGACTGCCTCTGGTCAACGTGGCGGTATAATGTCCTAGATCTTCGAATCGAGTGATTATTCCGATGAATCTCCGTCTCACACAAGTCCATACAACGATAGAACGCGTGGGGATGGTGGTGATGCACCTATACATTACCACGAGAGAAGTAATTCAAGGGATTGGGTATCACTGGTGTAGTGCTCATGCTGGCACCAATCAAGAGGCCAGGGACCGAAATGTCCTGCGCCACGCTCCCCAAGTAAAGTCTCCGTGATGGCCGTCATCCAGAGAGTTGGACCGGTTTTCCGGCATGACTACCGAACGGGATCAAATCCCGTTGTTCGATTGCAGAAAGATTTGCCCGCCTGATTCCAGCACAGAAGCTGTCCGTGCTCAGAAAGAATTCTTAACCGATGCATTTTTCAATCATCGGTGGTTTAATGGCATAATAATGTACTTGGGCAGTTGTTTACTGCTGTCCTAGTTTGTCACTGCGTATTTTGGTAAGTTTACTGTAGACAGTAAAACTAGTTCTCCTTCATTAAATGAAAGAACATTCGCTCTTCCATTTTTGTCTGCGTTTCTCTTCTGTCTGTCCAGTGCATCTGCAATAGAGTCTTGAACGAAGCGGACAACCGCTTCGCGAGTCAGCAGAAATTCCTCTGCTGATTCATCCTTGTCAACAGCAGTACGCTTCGTGTGCACTGCTGAAAGAACGTTGTCTTCACCAGTGAGGGTGTCACCGTCCTCACTTTGGCAGTCATTGGCGATGCTGAAAATACCGGCATCATCGTCCTCGTCATTATCGATATCGATCCCATCGACATCGGCATCAATCAAGTCGACACCATTTTCGACTGGCGATGAGCAAGAACCAGATCGGCTTTTGCTCGAGCGAGTCCGCCCTCCTCCTTAAACTAGAGACACCCTCTAAGGAGACGGGTAAACGTGGATGGCGTAGGCATTTACGAAGAACGGTGTATGCGTTGTCGACGCATGCACCGAGTTGTTGATGGTGAATTCCGCCATCGGCAAGAACACAATCCAGCTCGTGAACGAGTGGACATACCCTCGAAGTATCTCTTCGAGGACGCGGTAGACGCGTTCCGTCTGACCATCTGTTTCGGTATGGTCAGAAGTTGACATCGTCAAACGTGTTCCAAGTTGACGGAACACGGATTGCCGGAACTCCGCTGTAAGCGGGGATCCCTATCAGACACGAGTTCACGGGGTAACCCGTGAAGTCTGAAGATAGTACTGATAAAGACACGCGCACATCCCTAGGCTGTGATTGACTCCGGTACAGCAACAAGATGTACCATCTTGCTGAACCGATCAACAAACACAAGAATACCAGTATTCTTGTGAACGTCTTTGGGAAACCCGAAGACGAAGTCCATTGATACAGACTACCAACACTCTGCCGAAATCGGAAGAGGCAGCAAGGGTGCGCGGGATGAAGGACTAGGCTCCACCCGTTAATTAACTTTGCAAGCGCAGATGTATTTCCGCACGAACTCATACTGACGAGGCCAGTAGAAGTCACGACTTACCCTGAGGTAAGTCTTTTCCCTACCGCGATGCCCACTTGTTGGGGCATCGTGACACTCATAATGATGCACAGTCGCAAATCATTATGAGCCGGAACGACGACACGAGGTGTGTCGCCGTTGACTGCTATATAGTACAGCAGACCATCACGAACCGTATACCGTTCGGTTGAAGAGCGCTATTGAGACGACAAGATCTTCAAAGCTTGATTACACGGATTGGATACAAAATCCATCAACCGCAGAAAAGAATCGTCTTCTGTGTATGCTTTTCGCACGTCGTCGAGCAGATTCGACGACGGAAAACTCGCTGTTAGTGTTGCTTCAGTGGGATCACCCCTACTGTTGTGTTGAGGAGTCGGCTTGAAATCGGGCCGACGCGAAAGAGCATCAGTGACGACATTAAGCCGTCCTGGTTTATACTCGACGGAGAAGTTGTACTCCGCGAAGAAAGACAGCCACCTCGCCATTCGTTGCGAGAATTGTGGACTTTTTACGGCCGTGCGTAATGACACGTGGTCGGTATAAACAATAAAGAGCCTATCTCCTGATCGATAGACTCTGAACTTCGCGGGTGCATACTTCATGGCAAGGAGTCCCTTGTCATGCACTGGAAGTTCCGCTTAACTGGTTGCAGCTAACGTGATTGATAACAGACGACGCGCTCAACGCCGCCCGAGTCGTACTGCATCAACGCGCAGCAGATTGCAAAATCGCTGGCGTCACAGACCACATAAAATGGTCTACCCTGGTCTGCAATCGTTAACACAGGCGATTGCAACAAGCTTTTCTTGATGCCTGCAAAAGCGTGCTGACACTCAGCGCTCCATGACCACATCTCGTTTTTCTTAGGCAGACGAAAGAGATGTACGTTCATCTTGGCATAGTTGCTCGAGTGTTTGTGCAAGTACGCCGCCAAGCCAAGGAACTTTCTAAATCCCTTGACGTCGACTGGCACTGGCAAGTCGCTAATCGCCTTGACGGAGTACGGTGGTCTGCCTCCCACTAGAATCTCTCGTGACCAGTGGATCCCCGTTTAGAGATCGTTTACCACGGTCTTCGGCTCAAGTTTCTCCTTGGTCAGCGCGCAGAGTCAGCTGGACGAGTGTCGCGGAGTTAGACGTTAATTTCTTGTATCGGCACTTCTTCCGTCCTAAAGGGTACATCTTCCCAACGGTACTTGTGCCTAAGAACGATTGCACAAGATCACAGTGTAGAAGGCTACTGCACTGTAAAACGAGCTTTCGGAACCTGTGTAGAGACACAGGCTGCGCCGAGGGTTGACCACTCGAATAGATCGAGTAGACTGGAACACGGATGCACACCAAGAAGGGTGCAATCGATCAGAGGAATTAGTGTAGTTCAGGATGATCAACACGTTGAAGCGATATCGACTATCAGAGAGTCGATCGTAGAGCAAGCCCGATCGATTATCAAAGAGTCGATCGCAGATAAAGCCCGATCGACTGAAGCAGAGTCGATCGAACAGGATGTGACTGTGGTAGTGCACATGCAGTGAGTACACGTATTGGAAGAAAGTTATAGCTTTCCTGAGAGTGATAACTCCCGAGAGAGTTGTGTTGAGGGTGTGGATCCCCAACCACCTGCTGATGTGTTTCCACAGGAACTCGCCGAGACAGTGAATGTCTTGGTGAATGACGGATCAAGTGTAGGCGCTTATACACTTGATCTGGTCACGCCCCCAAATTCATATTCGGAGTTAATCAAGCTTGCAACGCTAGAATATAAAAGGTTCTTGCGAGATCTGCGTATTGATAAGATCAAGCAGATCTGCGTACTCGTCACAGAGGACGGGTTCTCAGCAAACACTTTTGCCGACCGAATATCGGACGTCGCCGATATTCGGTCGGCAAAAGGGTTTGCTGAAAACGAACGGGTTCACAGTTGCTCATCGATGGAAGCGAGTGTCCTCGATGATAAGACACGGATTGAGCGATACACTTCTCAATCTTGGATGTCTCTAAAGACAAATCCTTGGTACAAGGATTTGGTGAATTTCAAGGATGTATTCCCTGAAACTGTTCCATGCGAGCTGTCCAAGGACAAAGGCACTCGGTATGAGATCGAACTGAAACCTGGTTCAAGATACTGTGCCATGAAGCAGTGACCACTGACTCGTTAACAGGTCACATCGATCGACAAATTCTTTGCCGATCGATTAGCGGCTGGTCATGTGAGGGAATCAATCCCCACACAGCTCTCCGACCTTCTGTGTGCGAAAGGTCAAAGGGGGGCGGATAGTGCACGCGTTCAACAAGTTGAACGCTGCAACGGTACCGGCTCAAACGCCGACACCGAGGAAGGACGTCATCACGTGAATGGTGTGTCAAAAAGTACCATCTTTTCGTCCATGGATATGATGAATGAATTCTATCAGATCCTCATGCGCAAACAGGACATCCCGTGCACAGCAGTGAGCACGCCTAGCGGCATGCTCTGGGAATGGCTAGTGATACCACAAGGGCTAAATAACGCCCCCGCAACGTTTAATAGATGTGTTACGAATCTGTAACGATCGGTGCGCGATTTCGCACCGAGTCACTTCGATGATGTCTTCGTTTATAGCCGGGCTAGGGATGGAAATACGGACGTGGAGGTTCACAGAATCCACGTACGGAAGGTTCTTACTCTAGTGCGAGAGCATAAGTTGTTCGCGAACCTCAAGAAGTGTATATTCGCAGCGAACGAAAAACCACTTCTTGGCTGCATCGTGGGTAAAAACGGTGTACGCCCTCATCCGGAAAAGATCACCGCGAGAGATAATAACGGGCTTAACGACGCACGACGCACGAGGCGCATCGTCGAGGCTGATCGCACCGTCCGAATCGCTCAAAGCCTCCCCAAAGAGATCCACGCGGGACACTTTGGGCACAGAGGCGCGTGTAAAGCTATTCGACGACGGAGAACCGCGCGGAGGAATAGACGTGTCCACGACAATGGGAGATTGGGACGGCCCAGCCGAGAAGGGAGATGTCGGACCAGACGCTCGACGACGTGTTGAAGACCGATATCCCGTCAGAGCCGCCAGCGTTGCATTCTCGCTTGCCGATGTTTTCTTTCCCTCAGATGACGATAGGACTGGACCACGACGTCTCTGCTTTCCCAATTTCCGGGCAGCAACACGCCGCCGATGGTCGCAAGAACCCTTTGGATGGCAAGATCCCTTCGGATCGTGAGATCCCTCCGGATTGCGAGCGACTGAAGTAGCAGAAGAATCCTGGGTAGCGGAACTCTTGGGACTGCGAGTACCTTTGGGGGCAGAATAATCCTTAGAAGTGAGAACACTCTTAGGATCGCGATACGGGGAAAGCTTTGATATAGACGTCGCATATCTGCTCGCCCCTTTGAAGAGCGTCAAGGCGAGTGATGGTAGAATATCGCGAGGTCGCTTGCGGCTGGGTTCGGAGGCATCTGATGTCGTGTGGGGTTTCGCGGAAGATATGGGTTAAATGACTCTACCGTCGCAGGCGTGGCGGAAGTATCCCCAGTTACCAGAGGGGTCATGCGATTTCGAAGGGTTACGTAAGCGTGTACGGCGCGATGCTACTGATCACATTCAGCGGACCGGGCAGATAGAGAGTCCTGCGCCTCGCCCAATTCGACCTGGAGCCCCGCCACCTGCTTAAGTGCCCGACTCAGCTTCTCTTGAACGTGGAGGCAGGTCTTCTTACGCTGCGACTTTCTTTTCTTAGCCTTGCGAAGGCTGATGGGCAGCCGATTACATTCCGCCACCAACCGGTCCCCCGCATCATCCATCTGCTTGCGGATCCCGGCAATCTCGCGCTCGGCTTTTTCCTGGGCGGCGTTACGTGCCCGCAGAGCACAAAGAATGTATGCTTTCAGATGTGCGAGTCACGGCAGTCTGATCAACCCGGTCGGCTAACGCCTCCCGGAAGGCATCAGACCGCTTGACCTCCTCGTCGTATCGGATTCGCGTACGATCAGACTGGGATGGTACGAACCCCCCAAAATGAGACTCCGAAGTACGAAGCTCATGGAGACACTCTCGCAGCTGACAATTCTGGGCTATCCGCTATGCTAAGGCAGACTCCATACTCTGGTATCGATCCACGACAGTTTGCTGTAGGTACAGACAAAAAAAGATCGATTCGATCGCGGCGTCCATCGTCGCTCGGTCAACCAAGCTCGACGCTTCGATCCGGTTACTCGGAAGCAAGATAGGATCACTCAGGTCCGAGGCTGGAACGTTGTCACTGACCTGGTCCACGTCCGGAGTGAGTATTGGAGGAGGCCCCAATGGAAGGGTCGAATTTGAGATCCCACCAGAGTCCCCCCCCGTGCAGGCCAAAGTCGCCACTGCCAAGCTTTTGTACTCGGTCCACGGTAAGGTAGAGGTATCCGAGACCGCAGGACTGGCAGCCGTCGAAGTTGGGGTATCCGAGGTTTGGTGATCCGAGGTACCTCGATCCGGAGGTTGGCGAAGGAACATGATTTGAAGAGACGCGATCGGCCTTTGGGACGGCAAACGTGAAAACGAAGAAAGTTGGGATAATTTAAAAAGTTCACACAGCTATTGTAACAAGGTAAGGGCCCGTTACCGTCTTACACTAATATCAAAGCTGATGAAGCGCTCTGATTTACTAGGTAAATTTAACTCTGTTTTAATTCTGTGTTTTTAAAATTCGCATTAAGTGCAAATACGTTCCCTAGCTCAAGGGAACCACTCAAATAAAAAACTAATCATTATTGGAATGAGGGTAAAAGATGTGCTAGGAGGTAGCATGTGCGGGTGGATAGCGTGCAAGAAAGTTGTACAAGATGGTGGAACTGGGGCTATCAGTGATGTATATGGCGATAGCGGATCGAGAGGGTCCGATCGCGGCCGACAAGCCAAAGAAAAGTAGTTAATTTAAAGATGAAAAATAAGATGAAGGATCGAAGAAAGTATACTGAATTATGAAACTATATGACTCGAATCCTAGCGGTCACGCGGGAAAGAACTTGCCAGACAAACGTGCAATCGACGATCCGGGGTGGTCGGCGATAGAGAATCGAGACTGGATACGCCAAGGTTCAGCTACATCCAGCTGCGGCAGAGCCGACATCAAGTTGGGAATGTTCGTTTGTTTACATCCCAAGCCGTGATGCCATGGGGTCACTTTCAGGTGGGACGGGAATTGTAGGAAGAATGGGTCCTATAGAATGTCCAAATCGCAGTGACCTGCGATCACACCTGCTATAGATGCGCGTAATTGGTGGTGAACAGGGTTGTCGTCATACGACAATGTAGATTAAATGATGCAATTGAGACAGGAATCAAATTGATAGCTTAACTACATTATGTACAGCTCTCTTTTTACCTTTTAATATAACTAGTGGATTGAGTAGATTAGCCTTCTCTGCACGTACGAGTGTACGTGAAGTTTCGTGGCGCCCGAGCAAAGGCTGCCCCGTTAAGTGACTCGCTTAACTTTGAAGACCTGTAAGAAGTGTCAAGTTCTGACAGATGAATGCATCATCCGGAGTGGGTTTTTAAGCGGCCCAGTGGCGCAATCGCATCATAGCGTTCAGCGAATGGACTTAACGTAGTAGGAGGTTGTAACTCAGGCATTGTGCATCGAACATTGTCCTTGTATCACCCGGGACACTTATTTCGCTACTGTAGTCCAATGCTTCCTCCATCTCGAGGTATGCACGAAGAGTCTGTGACTCGTTAGGATATGCAGACCTGGTGCTTAAGCTTTGCGATACCGTGATGTTAACCGCAAGCGCACTGACCTCGTTGCGAAACAAAGCTCAGCTGACGTTTGGGTTAACGTCAGTCCGTTGGGGGTAGAGGGGACACGCATCGCAGGATACTCGGCGCCATGTGTCTTAGCCACACGGGATGGTATTCCTTTGAAAGAGATGTAAATATCTTGTCGGTTTATGGGGGCTGACGAGTGTTAGTCACAAGTTCAAAAAGATACTGAAGATACTAATAAAGGACATGTGAGCCTGGATTGGGTAATACCATGATCAAGTTTTTTTTATAAAGTTAAACGTGAACAAAGCTCTATTTTTCGTATGATCTTGTAACGGGGTGAACCGTTACAAAACAACTTATTAGAAATCGTTAGTAGAATATAACTATAAGAGTTATAATCTCAAAATATTGTCATAAGGACAAATATTCTGTAGCACTTACGAGTAGTTCCTAATTGGTTGATTTAGGCCATTATATTAACCAACGAAGACACGCCACGACAGACGCACGCAATGAGTGGTGAGCAGATAGTTGATATGCACATTTGTATTCAAACATAGTTAGATGAGGATAAATAGTGGTTTATTAACAGACATTAACTATGATCAATACAGTTCTGCTTTTTACTTTAACCAAGTACTCGCTTCTTCTATCGTCTTCCTCTGCACGTACGAGTGTACGTGAAGTTCCGATGCACCGCCTTATTCTGTCATAAGAATAAGTAGCTTGTCACTGTTACAAGCTTCAGTGTAACGGGGTGAATCGTTACATAACAATTTATAAGAAATTGTTAGTAGAATATAACTATAAGAGTTATATTCTCAGAATATTGTCATAAGGACAAATATTCTGTAGCACTTACGAGTAGTTCCTAATTGGTTGATATAGGCCATTATATCAACCAACGAAGACGCGCCACGACAGACGCACGCAATGAGTGGTGAGCAGATAGTTGATATGCACATTTGTATTCAAACATAGTTAGATGAGGATAAATAGTGATTTATTGCAGACATTAACTATTATCAATACAGTTCTACTTTTTACTTTAACCAAGTACTCGCTTCTTCTTACCGTCTTCCTCTGCACGTACGAGTGTACGTGAAGTTACGAGGCACCGCCTTATTCTGTCGTCAGAATAAGTAGCTTGTACTGTCATCAGTACAAGCTTCAGGGTGCCCCGTTACACCTGGTAGCACTTCGTAGTCCGTCCAAGGACCACGTTCACATCCAACATGAATATGTTGGATGATGAAGATGACCAAAGCTTTCACGCTACGCGTGCCGGCTACTCCCATTTGAGCGATGTCGAATGGGATGCGGTTGAACGGATGGGTTCAACCATGGGCATCCATGCTGTTAGCGTCATGCTAGAGGCTCTCAATAGAGATGCCCAACATGCTACTATCGCCAAGTTCATTCAAAATGAACTTGACGCAGAACGCGAGAAAGTAGCCTTGCTTCACCAACAAGGTTCTCAACAAGCAGAGTTGTTGAGAGAACAGGGTGCTCAACAGTTTGAACTGTTGAGACAGCAGCAGGCTGCTGCTGGTGGGTCGATGCACTCGCGTCGACCCGAGACCTTGAAGATTGACATCTCCAAGTATAGGGGAGTCGAAGAGGACTTCCTCTTGAGATGGTTCGTCGAATTGGATGACGTCATAAGGGCGCGTCGCATCGACGACGGGGATATGCAATTTGCATTTGCCCAATCAAATCTGGCAGGACGTGCCAAGACTTGGGCTTTGGGGATCAAGTTGCACGACCCATATGCGTTTGGGTCGTTGGAAGTCTTCAAGTCGCGGCTCATACAAACGTTTGAATCGCCTAGAGCTGAGTTCAGAGCTCGAATCGAAATCTTGAAGCTCAAACAAGGTAAGCGTGATGTGCAAGCTTACGCACAACATATACGACATCTCACGAGTTTTATAAGTTCCAACCCGGTTAATGAACACAAGTTAGTTTCAATGTTCATGCAGTGTCTTGCGGATGTTCCCGTCAAGACTCACCTGTTCCGACTTGAATTTGATTCACTAGAACAATCCATTTCCATTGCGGAACAGGAGTACTTCAGTATGAGACAGGCTCGCGCCAGCTGGACATCATATCGTACACCGAGACGATATGATAGCGGAGGTACAGAGCCGATGGAACTCTGTTATGTAGAGAGCGAGAAGGCTCGCTCTACAGACTACAAGAAGTTGCAGAGATGCAACAGATGTCAAAAGACAGGACACTACGCTTACGAGTGTAGTGCCCCTCGTCCAGTGTCTCGCAACACTGGGCGTAACGACCGTCCACCCATGAGAAAGGGGCAGGGACGCGGGTCCGCTGTTGGTGCAAAGACGCAACAACGGGATGGACCGTCAAACAACGGACAGGATCAGTAGGTGCGGAGCACCCTACTGGTCCAGCAACGTCAAGAGAATTTGTAGGCCTCTTGACAAAGGTTGCTCCCAACACACAAACCTTGTGCGTTGCTGCTCTAAGTAGTGAGATCTCACTTATTACCTTGAAACTCGAAGTGACGAATAAGTTGTCCCTTCGAGCTCTAGTCGATTGTGGGGCGTCCAACAATTTTGTGCATCGCCAATCGCTAGAAGATGGTCACTGTAAGTTTGGTGAATGTGGCACACCTCCTACGAGGATGACGGTACGTCTTGCGACAGGCGCATCCGTAACCGTCATGAAGCGTATAGTGAAGATCCACTATACGCTAGAAGATACCCAATATGACGATGACTTTATCGTATTGGATTTGGATGACACATTTGATGTCATCCTTGGTAAACCGTGGCTCAGAAGGTACGAACCACGAGTAAACTGGCAACATAGAACAGTAACGATGCCTGCCGCTTGTTCATCAGATGGCCATCTGATGAACGTTTTGGAGCGTCCGCAAGCGTGTGGATGTACTACGAGTGAGTGCGATGGCCTCACTTGTGGTACGGTCGTTAGTACGACTGCACAAAACCTTAGTGTAACAAACGGTTACACTTCGGAGCAAAGTTCCGGCGGCTATGAGGAAACACAGGCTGCGCCGAAGGTCCACCACTCGAATAAGTCGAGTGGACCGGGACAAAGATGTATCCCTAGCGGGGAACATCTAGAAGATAAACCATCGATCGCTCAGGTTAAGCGAAACGATAATCCTAGATCGACTGGAGAGTCTTTCGTAAAGGATCTCGCTGTGGTTGCGCAACCACAGCTAGAGGAAGTTAAGGGAATAAGTCCCGATATTACAGATACGGTGGAAATAAGTTCCCTGAAACCCGAGGGAATAAGTCCCCGGGAAGCCGAAGGAATAAGTCATTCGAGGCCTGAGGGAATAAGTCCCCAGGAAATGACAGAGACACTGAATGTCATAGTCAATAACGGATCAAGTGTAGGCGCTTATACACTTGATCTGATTGCGCCTCCGAAGTTGACTTCGGAGATCACTCAGTTGCCAACGCTCGAACATAAAAGGTTATTGCGTGATCTTTGTAGTGGCAAAGTCAAGCAGATCTGCGTACTCATCGCTGACGACGAGTGTGTAGCCGACATAAGGTCAGCAACAATGTTTACTGAGAACGAGAGAGTTCTCAGTAGTTCACCGATGGACGAGAGCGTCCTCGATGAAAAGATACGAGTTGAGCGATATGACTCCCAATCGTGGGAATCGCTCAAGACAAATCCTCTCTATAAAGATTTGCTTGAATTTCAGGATGTATTCCCTGAAACTATTCCGTGCGAATTACCGAAGGATAAAGGTACTCGACACGAGGCCAAGCTTAAACCAGGCTCGAAGAATGTGTCATGAAGCAGTAGCCACTGCCTCGTGAACAAGTACTTGCGATCGACAAGTTCTTTGCCGATCGTTTAGCTGCGGGCCATGTGAGGGAATCAACTTCCCCACATAGCTCTCCGACCTTTTGTGTGCGAAAAGCAACAGGAGGGTGGCGGATTGTGCATGCATTTAACAAGTTGAATGCTGCAACGGTACCGGCTCAGACGCCGATAACCAAGGAAGGACGTAATCAGTGATGGTGTGTCAAAGAGTACCATCTTTTCGTCCATGAATTTGATGGATGGCTTCTATCAAATCCTTATGCGAGAACGGGACATACCCTATAACGCAGTAAGAACGCCTAGCGGCATGCTCTGGGAATGGCTAGTAATGCCACAAGGGCTTAGTAATGCCCCTGCCACGTTCAACAGATGTGTATCACATCTGTTGAGACCAGTACGAGAATTCGCACCGAGTTATTTCGATGACGTATTCATCCATAGTCGGGCTATGGATGGAAAGTCGGACGTTGAGGTTCACAGGTACCACGTCCGACAGGTTCTTACAATCATGCGAAAGCATCAATTGTATGCAAATCTCAAGAAGTGTATATTTTCGGCAAGTGGAATACCACTTTATGGGTGCATCGTTGGTAAGAACGGTGTACGTCCTGATCCCGAAAAGATCAAGGCGATCACCGACTGGCCTGTGCCAGCTGATGTCAAAGGTCTTGGAAAATTCCTTGGGCTAGCGGCGTATTTGCATAAGTACTCACGCAATTACGCCGAGATGACTGTACACCTCTCTCGTTTATTGAAAAAGAACGAGAGGTGGTTATGGAACGCTGAATGTCAGCGCTCCTTTGATGGTATCAAGCAGAGATTGATACAATTCCCAGTCCTAGCAATTGCCGATCAGGACAGGCCATTTCATGTGGTCTGTGATGCCAGCGATTTCACAATCGGCTGTGCATTCGTGCAGTACGGTCTTGAAGGCGTTGAACGCGTTGAACGCGTCGTCTGCTATCAGTCGCGTCAGCTGCAACCAGCTGAGCGGAACTATCCAGTGCATGACAAGGAACTCCTTGCCATGAAGTATGCACTCGCGAAGTTCAGAGTCTATCTCTTAGGAGATAGACCCTTCATTGTTTACACTGACCATGCGTCATTACGCACGGCAGTGAACAGCCCGCACCTTTTGCAACGAATGGCGCGGTGGTTGTCATTCTTTGCAGAATACAACTTTACGGTCGAGTACAAACCAGGACGACTTAAAGTCGTCGCTGATGCACTCTCACGTCGGCCCGACTTTGAACCAGTCGTGAAACCCAACAGTGAGACAGCCACTGTTGCGGTTATGACATCCACCATACCATCTTCAACGTTACATGATGATGTGAGGCGGGCGCATGCCCAAGATGGTGAGATTGTGAAGTTGTTGACACATCTCTCACAGCCATCTCGAGAATCGTTGAAATGATTATCGTCTGCGTATCGAACTGCATTAGATCGATACACTACTCGCAACGGGTTACTGTATTATACAGCCGTTTCTGGTGACACACCACGTGTTGTCATTCCAGATGATACTGATCTGCGTTTGCGGATCATGTTCGAGTATCACGATGCTCCTATAGGAGGACATCGTGGCCGTGAGAAAACATATCTCACGGTGAGTCGAGACTTTTACTGGCCCCGCCAGTATCAGTTTGTGCGCAAGTATGTTCGCGCATGCGAAGTCTGTCAACGAGTGAAGTCAAGTCCTTCACTGCGTGCACCTTAACAGCCTCTACCGGTTCCGGCAGAGTGCTAGAAATCCATCTCAGTGGATTTCGTCTTCAGGTTACCCAAAGACGCACGCAAGAATACGGGTATTCTCGTATTTGTTGACAGATTCAGCAAAATGGTACACCTTGTGGCTGTACCAGAAACAATCACAGCAAGCGGCTGTGCTTGTGTCTTTATTGACCCCATCTTCCGACTTCATGAGTTGCCCCGTGAACTCGTATCAGACAGAGATCCACGATTCACTTCTGATTTCTAGCGTTCCGTGTTCAAATCACTCGGAACGCGCTTGAAGATGTCGACATCTGATCATCCAGAGTCAGATGGTCAGACGGAACGTGCCAATCGTGTCCTTGAAGATATACTTCGAGGATCCGTCCACTCCTTTAAGAGTTGGAGTGAGTTCTTGCCAATGGTAGAGTTTGCCATTAACAACTCGGTGCATGCGTCCACGACACATACACCGTTTTACGTGAATGGCTTACGCCATCCGCGTGTACCCAGCTTGCTCGAGTGTAACTCTGGTTTAAGGGGGGAGAGACTCGCGCGAGCAAAAACCGATTTGGTTCACGCTCATCACGCTCTGACGATGAGGTCATTGCGTTTGATGCCGATATCGACAACATCGATATCGAAGAAGATGATGCCAGTGAGAGCGCGGAAGCGCTCACTGAAGAAAAGGTTGATGTTGCTGCAGTGCACTCACAGCGCACTGAAGCTAACGAGTCATCAGATGAGTTCATCCTGGCTCGTGAAACGGTAGTCCGTTTTGTGCAAGACTCCATCGCCGAAGCGGTGGATAAGCAAAAGCAAAACGCTGACAAGAATGGAAGGGCAAACACTCTTTTACTTATTAAAGGTGACTTAGTCCTACTGTCTACGATTAACCTACCAAAGCATGTAGTGACTAACTTGGGTAGTAGTAAACTTCTACCCAAATACATCGGCCCATTTCGTGTATTGCATTGCCTAGGCAATGCATACACGATCAAATCGCCACGTAAGATGCGAACGCATCCCACGTTTTACGTTGGTCGGTTTAAGCCGTACCATCAGTACGCTGCTTCTTCCGATGAAGAACGCCCTTGCGCTCAAGCATCTCGCAGAGAGCCTTGTGCTCCCGATGGTGGATATCAACAAGGGTCTGAAGAGCAGCTATCTCATCCCGAGACTAGTCAATATCCATACGAGCTACCCTTAGCTCGTCACGCAGAGACGTCAAAGCTCTCTCGTTCTCAAGCTAAGCAAAGGCAAACTCAGCTCGATGCTTCAAGACAGTGTCCGCCAGTTGGAGACGCCTGTCCCGCTCATGCTCGAGGTGCCGCGCAACGCAAGAGTTACGCGATCAAAGAGGCTCTCGGAGTAACACGCTTCGCCACGATAGTTTGGACAGCGTTTCCCTCCTCTTCCACCTCCATTGGAGGACTCTCGCGGTGGCCAGCGCTATCTGGTTGAGCGGCTGTTGAACCACCGCGATGTGAACGGACGTCGGACGAGTTACCTCGTCTGGTGGCGCGGTTATCCCCCGTCCTGGCATACTTGGGATACCCGCTCCCAACTGATGATTGACGTACTGGGTCTGGTTGAGCAGTACGACGCGGCACATCCTGTGCCGCAGAAAGACCGCTGGAGAAAGTCTTCCCAGCACGGTCGTAAAGGGATTTCAGGTTGTCAATCCCTTCGTACATCTCAATAGAGATACGTTACGCGCCACCACGGGCTATTAGGGAGGTAAGCCTCCTTAGGTGCGCGCGCAGAGTTGTTCACACAACAAGGGCACGGGTCTCCCCAAGAGAGGCAGGGTAATCCTTTCTCCCTTGACAGACGATGCAGCTTGTAGCGTGCACCTGTCGGGGTTCGCTTTTCAAACTTATCACGAGCTTTGATAAGTTTGTCGTTCCAAACGTCACGACCTACATCCTCAAGGTTATGGATGTAAGCGTTCCACGCTTGAAGCAGTGAGGGACCATCACGTTTGTGATTCCCACTGTACCATCGATGTTTAAAGAAAGCATCGATGAAGAACTCATGTTCAGTGCGATAGTTTTTCGCGCTGGGGTCAAGGTGATGGATCATGAAGAATCGAACAACCGTGTTCGATAGCGATCACTCGTCGTCGCCGACAAGCGATCCATGACTGACTTTGGAGGCATCCATGCCTTCTTCTCGGGAGCGAGACGCAACACATTGCGGTCCCGCTCTTCTTGCGACGTGCCGACAGAAGTACTGGCACCTCGTTGCGAAGTGGTGTCCATAGGAGAACCAACACCACTGTTAGCGCCCGAGTCTTGCTATCTCGAGCGCCTTCGCTTCGGCGATGGTTCACCTGATCCATCAGATGAACCAAAGATGCTACGATGCGTAGCATCATCCATACCACGCTTGGCAGGAGGCTTGGATTCGATCGCCGTCGATACGGATCCGTCTTCAGTATCGGGAGAGTATGAGACACCGAGTTCATACTCTGTGAAGACATGAGTGTCTTCATGACGAGCGCCTGCATCACCAAGTGACACAGGCTGGGTCGCTTCAGCAACCGATGAGACATCAGTTGCTGTGGTTTCTGCTTCGGCGTCCGCACAGAGACTTGCGGACGCGCTCTCGGCGGCCTTGCTCGCGCATCGCATGGGCTTGTTAACCATGCGATGAGATGTTGGAAAGTGGACGCGGACCAACAAGTGCAAACCCTGTCCCAAATGATTTGGGACGAGTATCCATTTAGTCAATCAGTCACTAAAGTGACTGATGGTTAAGGGGGGGGGTGATGTAACGGGGTGAATCGTTACATAACAATTTATAAGAAATCGTTAGTAGAATATAACTATAAGAGTTATATTCTCAGAATATTGTCATAAGGACAAATATTCTGTAGCACTTACGAGTAGTTCCTAATTGGTTGATATAGGCCATTATATCAACCAACGAAGACGCGCCACGACAGACGCACGCAATGAGTGGTGAGCAGATAACTGATTTACACATTTGTATTCAAACATAGTTAGATGAGGATAAACAGTGATTTATTAACAGACATTAACTATGATCAATACAGTTCTACTTTTTACTTAAACTAAGTACTCGCTTCTTCTATCGTCTTCCTCTGCACGTACGAGTGTACGTGAAGTTCCGATGCACCGCCTTATTCTGTCGTCAGAATAAGTAGCTTGTACTGTCATCAGTACAAGCTTCAGGGTGCCCCGTTACAGATCTAGTCTGCCTTGCCAGGCGTCTCTGATCGTAGATTGTTAAGGGTCAGCCTCACATCAATGAGAAAGATGCTCTTAAGCACCAAGTGCTGCAGATTCACTGCATCGTTCGGTCCTCTGGGACAGAATCTTGAGCTTCACGCTTGTTGACTCATAGAAAATCGCTTTTTGAGCACTAAGTCTTCCTCTGACTTATGGAGCTGCGCAACCCCGCTACGACTTATGCTTAACTCAAACGTCATAAAATTTGACCCTCATCTTATACCTGGTTATGTACGCTAAATCAATAAATGCATCATAGTGCGTGCAGTCACGCTGCACATGCTAATGTTTTTTATGAGATGAATCGATGTCTTTCGTGAAAGAAAAGTTTCAAGGACAAACAATTTTGAATTGTAAACTTCTAAAGGATCATTTTAACTCGATATGATGTATTCCGCAAAAATCTTCTTGGTCCGTCATTTGTTTGTAAAATTCGCTCCGTACTCGGCTTTTTAATAATCGCCTAAGCATCCAAGTCGCTATCACAAAAGTTCATCGGGTCGGTAAATCGAATCGATACCGAGCGTCACGGTTTTCTAGCCGTGCTAATCCTATTGTCGCCATAGTCCTGTACTCCCCGTCAGATTGGCATCCTCTCGTCAAATAAAGGAGACTTCACAGATCACACTTTAAAACGTGATTGATTCGTACGCCAATGGAGTTCCAGCTAAACGCTGCCCCGGACGAGGACTACACCGAGGACGACGCCATGACTGCTTCTTCCAGCGTATCTCACGCCGTTCGTATGTCTTCATTGCTATCAGAAGGCACGGGCACCCCTCGTAATTCGTTGTATGCCACAGAATCCGCTTCGCCTTCTGGTCACTCGAGCCTCATGCACCCGCCGGTATCTGGCGGCCAGGAGGGTTTCGTACTTAGCCGAGAGTCCGAACCTGTTGTGAATGAGATTGTCGTTTTAGACGATGTAAACATGGAAGAGGAGGAGCAACAGGACGAACGAGTGTTGGAGATGCCCAAGTTACAGTCCACAGAGCTGCAGAGATTGCAGGCTGAGCTGCTGACGTCACTGACCAAGCTTTGGACGGAAGCAGTGCCAGCTCCAAAGAGGCAGAAGAAAGGCAAACAGCCGAAGAGAGGGAAAGCTGCTGGTAACGGTAACAATTCAGCGGAGATTGAGGTGCATCGAGTGCTGGACGAGCTGCAGCGCACTGTGAACAGGCCTTATGCTGACAGGAACGTTGTCATCGACGTTGTAAAGCTCTGTCTGGCTTTCTGTGAGCTGGTGGATGAGAACCATTCGGTGGAGAGCTTGGTGGTGCGAAAAATGGACACAAAAAACAAAGCAGTTGATCTGGACGAGACTGTGAAGAAGCTGTTGAACGAACCTATTTACGGACAATTGACGACGATTCTTAAGCATGCAGTATTTTGTGGGGGCGAGGAGACGGGAAAACAGGTTTTGAGGCAGATGCTGGACTGGTGTTTGGCTCGACCAATGCCGTCGAGTTGGACGTGGGTATTTGTGTCAGTTACTGAGATGAATTCGTACAGTGTTCAGGAATGTCTTTTTCGCGAAGCGATTGTGAGATATCAGAGCAGTGATGAGAGTCAAGACCAAGTACAGCATCTTCTTCCAGTTTTGGAGTCGTTGGCCGAAAAGCATCCGGCTCAAATGGTGGACATCCTGCGTGACGTATTGCACGATTGTGAATCTAGCAGTGACAGGTCAGCGGATACCGTGATACAGCTTGTCAAACTGGCGAGTGACTCTGCGGCCCTCGTTTCTGTCTGCGACGATGGTCTTCAGTGGGTAGTCACAGAAGAACTGGTGAAAACACTTGCCAGCAAGTTTGGAAAATATAGTGCCAAGCTGCATGCGGAACCAATGGAAGCACAGCTACTTAAATTCATCCGCAGACGAAGTGCGGAGCTTTCGAATTCGGGCTTTCAGTTGCTGCTACTGCTGCAAAGCTTATCTACATCAAACGTGTCGTCACAATTCAATGCTTCTGTGACCTCGTTCCAGAATCGCCTGTATGAGCTTGCTGAGTCGGAACCCTCACATGCTTTCGTCCGTGCAATGTACCAGTTCCTTCCTTACATTTGCCAGAACGCGCTTCGACTTCTCCGAGTGATCACACAAACTGAAGAAGCACCAAGTACTAGCGGGACTGCGGGAGTTGACGGAGAAATGTCAGGAAAAACTGCTAGTCAACAATTTAAAGAATGGAAGCAGTGGTTGTGTCTGTTGGCACGGTCGGTATCGTGTAAGGAAGTGACAGAAATGCTCATCAAGACCGATTTGATGTTGGCGGAGTGTAACGATTCACCTTCTGGTCAAATTGCGGATGGCGCGCTATGTGAATTGCTGACGTCTTTGCTGGCCCCTGCATCACCTGAGTACGTCGCTTTTGTGCGCAACATCGTGTACAAATGCGAGTCTGCTGCCCCGAGAGCTCAATGGCGCATTCTCGGCATCGTCCAAATGCTTTTGAACGTGAATTACATGAAAAACGCAGCCGTTGCAAATTACGGTCTCCCAATTACACTAGATGCAAGACAAGATGCATCCTGCTTGCAGCAACTCGTCCGCTCGAATAGCTGGACTGAAAACATGAATTCGTTTGGTCTGTGGAACGGCATACATGGCGTAGAGTTCTGGGAGAGTTTTCTGGATTTGATGAGCTCAAAAAATGCGTTGGTTGCTTCACGTGCGCTTCTCCTTGTGTCCCAGACACCGTTTCTATCTCTTGACGACCCGGCTTGGCAATACCGATGTGTACGGAAGCTAACAAGAGTATTTTTCTCGGTGCTGAGGCAATATCGGTCGACACTTGTTATGCGGAAAAGAGAGAACTCTGGTGAAGCACGGATACCCTTCGACACGACTCTCCAGAGCCGTTTACAAACTCTCAAGATGATCATGCTTCGCGTGGTGACTCTGAGAGGAGGCGTCGCTCGCTACCCCTGCTCCGTGTACAGCATGTTTGCGTCAATGTGGTTGGACGCACTGTTGAGTACAACTTCAGCGACCAGCATTCCTACACACTTTCCCGAAACTGTGAATTTCGTCGACTTAGATACAAAGGATGAGCTCGATGAGGACCAGATTATTCGTAGCGAGCGCACTATCAGTTCGAAGTGCACAAATTTGCAGTCCTCGCAGGTGATAACAAAGGTTGCCGAGACAAAGCTAGTGTACCGGAAAACGCTCGATTCCTCATGGGAGTGTGAAATGCACGCTGCACGCATATGTAGCATGTCTGCAATAGATTTGTTTTCTCAACTTCTCGGTTCCACAGGGGTTGTTGCCAGCCCACGGGATGATGGTCTAGGCAAGGAAAGAGCTGTATCGAACTCGGGCGAAGACGAACTACTCGATAGGAGGTTGACGACTGTGGTAGATATGCTTTTGGAACGTGTGGTCCCATGCTGTGGTATTCCAAGTGACGATGTGTACAAGGATATGTTGCCAAATCGCTCTAGCTTTGATGTGGACTTGCGTGTGGAGCAGTGGCTGAACCACTTTCCTGCATTTCTTCCGCTCTTGCGTGCCGTGATCTCGAGTTCGTTAGTTCTGAATTCGTCTCAGTTGCTACGTCTCGTGCCTGTGTTCAAGTCGATATTGATCGTGTTGCTTGGCCACTGGAATAGTGTTAAGGGCAACCTGAGCGTGGAAAACGTTGACGTGCCTCCTTACATGCGCAATAAGAACCAGCTGGCGATCACGTGCGAGTTGGTTCGGCTACTGCGCGCCACTAATTGGTTGCCGGTGCCTTTGGGCAAGACAGCGGAGCTGCTTCCATTGACCACCCCTGCCGATATTCGCGCCATTCTCTTCAGCTGCTGGTTCTATCTGTCCGACCACCCGCCAAAAACCGGATCGCGTGCGTCGGCACCTGCAACATCTGCACCAGCGTCTCCGATATCGTCGGACTCGTCTCCAATTGGTGCTGGGATTCCAAACTTGTCTTCGTGTGGTCCTAGTTCGAGCACGAGGAACCCGCCTCTGGAGTTCTACTTGATTCCACTGCGAAAAGCTCTTCATCGCAATATCAGCAAGATAGGCGCCAAGTATCCGCTCTTTTCATGCTAATAAAAACGCATGTCCGCCACTTTAGTATCGAGTTTGTGCCTGAATTGTTTTTTGTAACGCACTTGCACTGTTTGAGTCCCGCACACTTATGCGTTACTGATAAAAATACTCGTATTTCGCTTTTTCTTCTTTTCACCCCATCATATGCTGTGTTGAATTTCGTGTGTTGTCTTTATCTTCTTTTCACCTAATCACATGCTTTAATGGTGTATACTTGCTCGAATACAGAGCTGCTCGTCATGAGCGAAGTGGAGCTGCTAATGGTGCGCAATTTGACCACTTCCAAGACCGCGCTAAGTGTTGGACTATGACGTAACGTACGAGTAGACGAGAGCGTTGTCCGTAGTTTTTTTTCGCAGACTGCTGTATTGTGCGATTACGTGCCCTTATCTCACTCACTTAGTCTCACTATGCACACTCACAATCTTCTCTCACGATTTGTGGAACGTCTGGTCGGTCGCTCGCTCTCTTTCTCCTCGACGCTTCTGCTCTCACCGAAAGGTGCCGTGTCGTTGACGCATCGACTTTTAACACTCCATCCGCGAAATCGCACCATCTTTGATCCCATAAATCTTCAGAGTTCCGCGACTCTCGGCGCCGAAACTCTCTTGGTTAACAATTCTGCAGTCATTTCCTTGGTCGCGACATACTCACGCTTAACATTGCATTTGAGCTCGTGTCACGTACGAACTTCATCTTTGTAACGAGGTGAACCGTTACATAACAATTTATAAGAAATCGTTAGTAGAATATAACTATAAGAGTTATATTCTCAGAATATTTTCATAAGGACAAATATTCTGCAGCACTTACGAGTAGTTCCTAATTGTTTGATTTAGGCCATTATATCAACCAACGAAGACACGCCACGACAGACGCACGCAATGAGTGGTGAGCAGATAGTTGATATGCACATTTGTATTCAGACATAGTTAGATGAGGATAAACAGTGATTTATTAACAGACATTAACTATTATCAATACAGTTCTGCTTTTTACTTAAACTAAGTACTCGCTTCTTCTATCGTCTTCCTCTGCACGTACCAGTGCACGTGAAGTTCCGAGGCACCGCCTTATTCTGTCGTCAGAATAAGTAGCTTGTACTGTCATCATTACAAGCTTCAGGGTGCCCCGTTACACCTGGTAGCACTTCGTAGTCCGTCCAAGGACCACGTTCACATCTAACATGAATATGTTGGATGATGAAGATGACCAAAGCTTTCACGCTACGCGTGACGGCTACTCCCATTTGAGCAATGTCGAATGGGATGCGGTTGAACGGATGGGTTCAACCATGGGCATCCATGCTGTTAGCGTCATGCTAGAGGCTCTCAATAGAGATGCCCAACATGCTACTATCGCCAAGTTCATTCAAAATGAACTTGACGCAGAACGCGAGAAAGTAGCCTTGCTTCACCAACAAGGTTCTCAACAAGCAGAGTTGTTGAGAGAACAGGGTGCTCAACAGTTTGAACTGTTGAGACAGCAGCAGGCTGCTGCTGGTGGGTCGATGCACTCGCGTCGACCCGAGACTTTGAAGATTGACATCTCCAAGTATAGGGGAGTCGAAGAAGACTCCCTCTTGAGATGGTTCGTCGAATTGGATGACGCCATAAGGGCGCGTCGCATCGATGACGGGGATATGCAAGTTGCATTTGCCCAATCAAATCTGGCAGGACGTGCCAAGACTTGGGCTTTAGGGCTCAAGTTGCACGACCCATATGCGTTTGGGTCGTTAGAAGTCTTCAAGTCGCGGCTCATACAAACGTTTGAACCGCCTGGAGCTGAGTTCAGAGCTCGAACCGAACTCTTGAAGCTCAAACAAGGTAAGCATGATGTGCACGCTTACGCACAACATATACGACATCTCACGAGTTGTATAAGTTCCAACCCGGTTGATGAACACAAGTTAGTTTCAATGTTCATGCAGTGTCATGCGGATGGTCCCGTCAAGACTCACCTGTTCCGACTTGAATTTGAGTCACTAGAACAAGCCATTTCCATTGCGGAACAGGAAGACTTCAGTATGAGACAGGCTTGCGCCAGCTGGACATCATATCGTACACCGAGACGATATGACAGCGGAGGTACAGAGCCAATGGAACTCTGTTACGTAGAGAGCGAGAAGGCTCGCTCTACAGACTACAAGAAGTTGCAGAAATGCAACAGATGTCAAAATACAGGACACTACGCTTACGAGTGTAGTGCCCCTCGTCCAGTGTCTCGCAACACTGGGCGTAACGACCGTCCACCCATGAGAAAGGGGCAGGGACGCGGGTCCGCTGTTGGTGCAAAGACGCAACAACGGGACGGACCGTCAAACAACGGACAGGATCAGTAGGTGCGGAGCACCCTACTGGTTCAGCAACGTCAAGAGAATTTGTAGGCCTCTTGACAAAGGTTGCTCCCAACACAAAAACATTGTGCGTTGCTGCTCTAAGTAGTGAGATCTCACTTATTACCTTGAAACTCGAAGTGACGAATAAGTTGTCCCTTCGAGCTCTAGTCGATTGTGGGGCGTCCAACAATTTTGTGCATCGCCAATCGCTAGAAGATGGTCACTGTAAGTTTGGTGAATGTGGCACACCTCCTACGAGGATGACGGTACGTCTTGCGACAGGCGCATCCGTAACCGTCATGAAGCGTATAGTGAAGACCCACTATACGCTAGAAGATACCCAATATGACGATGACTTTATCGTATTGGATTTGGATGACAAATTTGATGTCATCCTTGGAATACCGTGGCTCAGAAGGTACGAACCACGGGTAAACTGGCAACATCGAACAGTAACGATGCCTGCCGCCTGTTCATCAGATGGCCATCTGATGAACGTTTTGGAGCGTCCACAAGCGTGTGGATGTACTACGAGTGAGTGCGATGGCCTCACTTGTGGTACGGTCGTTCGTACGACTGCACAAAACCTTAGTGTAACAAACGGTTACACTTCGGAGCAAAGTTCGGGCGGCTATGAGGAAACACAGGCTGCGCAGAAGGTCCTCCACTCGAATAAGTCGGGTGGACTGGGACAAAGATGTATCCCTAGCGGGGAACATCTAGAAGAGAAACGATCGATCGCTCAGGTTAAGCGAAACGATAATCCTAGATCGACTGGAGAGTCTTTCGTAGAGGATCTCGCTGTGGTTGCGCAACCACAGCTAGAGGAAGTTAAGGGAATAAGTCCCGATATTACAAATACGGTGGAAATAAGTTCCCTGAAACCCGAGGGAATAAGTCCCCGGGAAGCCGAAGGAATAAGTCCTTCGAGGCCTGAGGGAATAAGTCCCCAGGAAATGACAGAGACATTGAATGTCATAGTCAATGATGGATCAAGTGTAGGCGCCTATACACTTGATCTGATTGCGCCTCCGAAGTTGACTTCGGAGATCACTCAGTTGCCAACGCTCGAACATAAAAGGTTCATGCATGATCTTTGTAGGCAAAGTCAAGCAGATCTGCGTACTCATCGCTGACGACGAGTGTGTAGCCGACTTAAGGTCAGCAACAATGTTTACTGAGAACGAGAGAGTTCTCAGTAGTTCACCGATGGACGAGAGCGTCCTCGATGAAAAGACACGAATTGAGCGATATGACTCCCAATTGTGGGAATCGCTCAAGACAAATCCTCTCTATGAAGATTTGGTTGAATTCAAGGATGTATTCCCTGAAACTGTTCCGTGCGAATTACCGAAGGATAAAGGTACTCGACAAGAGGCCAAGCTTAAACCAGGCTCGAAGTACTGTGTCATGAAGCAGTGGCCACTGCCTCGTGAACAAGTACTTGCGATCGACAAGTTCTTTGCCGATCGTTTAGCTGCGGGCCCTGTGAGGGAATCAACTTCCCCACATAGCTCTCCGACCTTCTGTGTGCGAAAAGCAACAGGAAGGTGGCGGATAGTGCACGCGTTCAACAAATTGAATGCTGCAACGGTACCGGCTCAGACGCCGATACCGAGGAAGGACGTAATCAGTGATGGTATGTCAAAGAGTACCATCTTTTCGTCCATGGATTTGATGAATGGCTTCTATCAAATCCTTATGCGAGAACGGGACATACCCTACACTGCAGTGAGCACGCCTAGCGGCATGCTCTGGGAATGGCTAGTAATGAGACAAGGGCTTAGTAATGCCCCTGCCACGTTCAACAGATGTGTATCACATCTGTTGAGACCAGTACGAGAATTCGCGCCGAGTTATTTCGATGACGTATTCATCCATAGTCGAGCTATGGATGGAAAGTCGGACGTTGAGGTTCACAGATAGCACGTCCGACAAGTTCTTACAATCATGCGAAAGCATCAATTGTATGCTAACCTCAAGAAGTGTATATTTGCAGCAAGCGAAATACCACTTCTTGGGTGCATCGTTGGTAAGAACGGTGTACGTCCTGATCCCGAAAAGATCAAGGCGATCACCGACTGGCCTGTGCCAGTTGATGTCAAAGGTCTTCAAAAATTCCTTGGGCTAGCGGCGTATTTGCATAAGTATTCACGCAATTACGCCGAGATGACTGTACACCTCTCTCGTTTGTTGAAAAAGAACGAGAGGTGGTTATGGAACGCTGAATGTCAGCGCTCCTTTGATGGTATCAAGCAGAGCTTGATACAATCCCCAGTCCTAGCAATAGCCGATCAGGACAGGCCATTTCATGTGGTCTGTGATGCCAGCGATTTCGCAATCGGCTGTGCATTAATGCAGTACGACCTAGAAGGCGTTGAACGCGTCGTCTGCTATCAGTCGCGTCAGCTGCAACCAGCTGAGCGGAACTATCCAGTGCATGACAAGGAACTCCTTGCCATGAAGTATGCACTCGCGAAGTTCAGAGTCTATCTATTAGGAGATAGACCCTTCATTGTTTACACTGACCATGCGTCATTACGCACGGCAGTGAACAGCCCGCACCTTTCACAACGAATGGCGCGGTGGTTGTCATTCTTTGCAGAATACAACTTTACGGTCGAGTACAAACCAGGACGACTTAATGTCGTCGCTGATGCACTCTCACGTCGTCCCGACTTTGAAATAGTCGTGAAACCCAACAGTGAGACAGTCACTGTTGCGGTTATGACGTCCTCAGTCCCATCTACAACGTTGTATGATGATGTGAGGCGGGCATACGCCCAAGACGGTGAGATTGTGAAGTTGTTGACACATCTCTCCCAACCATCTCGAGAATCGTTGAAACGATTATCGTCTGCGTATCGATCTGCATCAGATCAATACACTACTCGTAACGGTTTATTGTATTATACAGCCGTTTCTGGTGACACACCACGTGTTGTCATCCCAGATGATACTGATCTGCGTTTGCGGATCATGTTCGAGTATCACGATGCTCCTATAGGAGGACATCGTGGCCGTGAGAAAACCTATCTCACGGTGAGTCGAGACTTTTACTGGCCCGCCAGTATCAGTTTGTGCGAAAGTATGTTCGCGCATGCGAAGTCTGCCAACGAGTGAAGTCAAGTCCTTCACTGCGTGCACCTTTACAGCCTCTACCGGTTTCGGCTGAGTGCTGGGAATCCATCTCAATGGATTTCGTCTTCGGGTTACCCAAAGACGCACGCGGGAATACGGGTATTCTCGTATTTGTTGACAGATTCAGCAAAATGGTACACCTTGTGGCTGTACCAGAGACAATCACGGCAAGTGGCTGTGCTTGTGTCGTTATTGACACCACCTTCCGACTTCATGGGTTGCCCCGTGAACTCGTATCAGACAGAGATCCACCCTTCACTGCTGATTTCTGGCGTTCCGCGTTCAAATCACTCGAAACGCGCTTGAAGATGTCGACATCTGATCATCCGGAGTCAGATGGTCAGACGAAACGAGCCAATCGTGTCCTCGAAGAGATACTTCGAGGATCCGTCCACTCCTTTAAGAGTTGGAGTGAGTTCTTGCCAATGGTAGAGTTTGTCATTAACAACTCGGTGCATGCGTCCATGACACATACACCGTTTTACGCGAATGGCTTACGCCATCCGCGTGTACCCAGCTTACTAGAGTGTAACTCTGGTTTTAGGGGGGAGGGACTCGCGCGAGCAAAAACCGATTTGGTTCACGCTCATCACGCTCTGACGATGAGGTCATTGCGTTTGATGCCGATATCGATAACATCGATATTGAAGAAGATGATGCCAGTGAGAGTGCGGAAGCCCTCACTGAAGAAAAGATTGATGTTGCTGCAGTGCACTCACAGCGCACTGAATCTAACGAGTCATCAGATGAGTTCATACTGGCTCGTGAAACGGTAGTCCGTTTTGTGCAAGACTCCATCGCCGAAGCGGTGGATAAGCAAAAGCAAAACGCTGACAAGAATGGAAGAGCAAACATTCTTTTATCTAATAAAGGTGACTTAGTCCTACTGTCTACGATAAACCTACCAAAGCATGTAGTGACTAACTTGGGTAGCAGTAAACTACTACACAAGTACATCGGCCCATTTGGTGTATTGCATTGCCTAGGCAATGCATACACGATCGAGTTGCCACGTAAGATGCGAACGCATCCCACGTTTTACGTTGGTCGGCTTAAGCCGTACCATCAGTACGCTGCTTCTTCCGATGAAGAACGCCCTTGCGCTCAAGCATCTCGCAGAGAGCCTTGTGCTCCCGATGGTGGGCATCAACAAGGGTCTGAAGAGCAGCTATCTCATCCCGAGACCGATCAACAATCCCACGAGCTACCCTTAGCTCGTCACGAAGAGATGTCAGAGCTCTCTCGCTCTCAAGCTGAGCAAAGGCAAACTCAGCTCGATGCTTCGAGACAGTGTCCGCCATTTGGAGACGCCTATTCCGCTCGTGTTCGAGATCGCCGCGCAACGCAAGAGTTACGCGATCAAAGAAGCTCTCGGGAACACACGGATCCCCACGATCGTGTGGAGAGCGTATTCCCTCCTCCTCCACCTCCATTAGAGGACTCTCGCGGTGGCCAGCGCTATCTAGTAGAGCAGCTGTTGAACCACCGCGACGTGAACGGACGTCGGACGAGTTACCTCGCCCGGTGGCGCGGCTATCCCCCGTCCTGGGATACTTGGGAGCCCCGCTCCCAAGTGATGGTTGACGTACTGGGTCTGGTTGAGCAGTACGACGCGGCACATCCTGTGCCGCAGAAGGACCGCCGGAGAAAGTCTTCCCGGCACGGTCGTAAAGGAATTTCAGGTTGTCAATCCCTTCGTACATCTCACTAGAGATACGTACGCGCCACCACGGGCTAGTAAGGAGGTAAGCCTCCTTAGGTGCTCGTGCAGAGTTGTTCACACAACATGGGCACGAGTCTCCCCAAGAGAGGCAAGGTAATCCTTTCTCCCTTGACAGACGATGCAGCTTGTAGCGTGCACCTGTCGGGGTTCGCTTTTCAAACTTATCACGAGCTTTGATAAGTTTGTCGTTCCAAACGTCACGACCTACATCCTCAAGGTTATGGATGTAGGCGTTCCACGCTTGAAGTAGTGAGGGACCATCACGCTTGTGATTTCCACTGTACCATCGATGTTTAAAGAAAGCATCGATGTTCAGTGCGATAGTTTGTTCAGTGCGATAGCTTTTCGCGCTGGGGTCAAGGTGATGGATCCTTGACGAATCGAACAACCGTGTTCGATAACGATCACTCGTCGTCGCCGACAAGTGATCCATGACTGACTTTGGAGGCATCCATGCCTTCTTCTCGGGAGCGAGACGCAAGTCATTGCGGTCCCGCTCTTCCTGCGATGTGCCGACAGAAGGACTGGCACCTCGTTGCGAGTGGTGTCCATAGGAGAACCGACACCACTGTTAGCGCCCGAGTCTTGCGATCTCGAGCGCCTACGCTTCGGCGGTGGTTCATCTGATTCATCAGATGAACCAAAGATGCTACGACGCAAAGCATCATCCATGCCACGCTTGGCAGGCGGCTTGGATTCGATCGCCGTTGATACGGATCCGTCTTCCGTATCAGGAGAGTATGAGACTCCGAGCTCATACTCTGTGAAGACATGAGTGTCTTCATGACCAGCGCCTGCATCACCAAGTGACACAAGCTGAGTCGCTTCAGCAACCGATGAGACATCAGTTGCTGTGGTTTCTGCTTCGGCGTCCGCACAGAGACGTGCGGACGCGCTCTTGGCGGCCTTGGTCGCGCATCGCGTGGGCTTGTTAGCCATGCGATGAACTGATGGAATGTGGACTCAGACCAACAAGAGCAAACCCCGTCCCAAATGATTTGGGACGAGTATCCATTTAGTCAATCAGTCACTAAAGTGACTGATGGTTAAGGGGGGGTGATGTAACGGAGTGAATCGTTACATAACAATTTATAAGAAATCGTTAGTAGAATATAACTACAAGAGTTATATTCTCAGAATATTTTTTAAGGACAAACATTCTGCAGCACTTACTAGTAGTTCCTAATTGGTTGATATAGGCCATTATATCAACCAACGAAGACGCGCCAGGAAAGACGCACGCAATGAGTGGTGAGCAGATAATTGATTTACACATTTGTATTTAGACATAGTTAGATGAGGGTAAACAGTGGTTTATTGCAGACATTAACTATGATCAATACAGTTCTGCTTTTTACTTAAACTGAGTACTTGCTTCTCCTTACCGTCTTCCTCTGCACGTACGAGTGTACGTGAAGTTCCGAGGCATCGCCTTATTCTGTCATCAGAATAAGTAGCTTGTACTGTCACCAGTACAAGCTTCAGGGTGCCCCGTTACATTCAGGGTGCCCCGTTACATTCACCTTCGTCCCTTACAGTTACCAGTACAAGCTTCAGGGTGCCCCGTTACACTTAGACTGAAAGGGTCTCTTGGTTATAACAAACTAACAACGATGTACAGCTGTTCAAGCGTACAAGCTTGACAGTTTCGGTTCTAAAGGAATTACGATTAACAGAATCACACACTAACTAGTCATTACTAGTTAAACAAGAGTAAGCGCCTTTACAAGGCTAATGCTCTTAACAACACACAACGCCTTTACTAGGCACTTGTGTCCAACAATTCAAAAGGGGAACTGAACTTATTTACTTTTTAACTACGGTAATACAACCCCAAACCTTGTCTGACTGACTTCTACATTGCGATCCTACTGCAGAAGTCTTATCCCTTATCCTTACCCGATAAGGTGCGGTATTACCGTAAGTACATGGTACCAATACTGCACCACTCAGATCCAGCCATCTTTACTTGGTGTGGACACACAACATAACCGCCGTGGACTCCGTTACATTTTGTACGTCCTATTGTTCGACGGGGGATCGTGAGGAAACCTCGGACCGGGCAGAGCTAAGTCTGTAATTCTCAAGATTCACATTTCATCGCAGCGCCGCATGCATTATGTGGGTTACAAGTATGGCATACGGTTCCGTATACACTACGAACAATGTCGCTGAATACCAACGGCTGGTGAATGGTCACCGCTAGGCAAAGACACTAACCCCTGCCCGTCGTCGGGACAGCACTCTCGTGCTTCCTCAATTCCAAACTCATCGCTCTCCTCATAAGCCGCATCTGGATTTGTTGTTATTTCGGGAGGTGCGAGCCCTTGCAGACGATATCGCCTGTCATCAGCTGGAGGCATCACTATCGCGAGTACGACAAGATGTTGGATCGACTATCTAACACCAATATGGACACATGTGCATTCTTTAAGTACGTGTACCCTGGATCGGCGTGTCGTCACTGAAATTGCGGAACTGCTTCCCCGACTATGATGTCAACCATTTGCTGGAGACCTCTCAAGCCGAACAACCCGAACTCCACAGCCTCGCACCGACTTCGAGGGGTCTAGTCATCTCGAGGCAACCCCTTGCGTAGTGGACTGGATCTACCCTAGTACGTAGATTAGACGTCTACACGGTAACGTTGTCGCTGGTTGATAGGGTATAGTGAGTCGTTCGCGTACCTAAATAAATGTCTATCACCTTCTCACTCACCCAAGTTTGCGTCCCATGTGTTATTACCGGTTTTCCAATTGACCTTTTTACAGCTTGAGTAAGACCGACACTGACAGCCAAGATAGTCATTCTCTCTTCAGTTTTGCCATGCGGATGGAATAAACTGGAAGCATCCCGTTGACACCATTCCCGTGCAAGCGGTATTGAGAAGCTACACAGTAAACATGTTGCGTACATGCTGTTATCTCGCGCTTTACGTACTCTTTCGTACGCGCAGTTATGTGATTGAGATCGAATCTTGGTTTTTGTGATCTTGTAGGAGGTGTCACGTACCACATCCAGCGCCAAAACTCTCTCTCTAGAATATGTGGCGGTCACGATGCACGACGCCATTTCCAATGTCAACGACGAGTCAAGTGTCTGTAATATTGTATGCGATGTCGACAAGGTTGCCATCTAGCAATTTACAGCAAATTTGTCGGACCAGACTTTGCTTAATCTAATGGACGGCCCGCACATGCATCGACGCTTGGCAGTCCAAACACCAAAGATGTGTTCACTTACAATGCATCTAGCTTTCTGGTAACGAAACCAGCCATTTTCCGCTACCGGGATCCGCTTCAAAACAGGTTTCGTGGCCAACTTCAAGGACCCACTTTCGATACTTTCGTGTCTACTGACGTTGTCATTTGACTTGCACGTTGGGTAAAGTTCTCACGTACGTCGTGATCTCCTTCCAAGTTGCGTATTTTCCAAACCATAACTCGGTGCTGCAACATTCTTACGAAAGAAAGGGCGATTTCTTAGTCAAGTCACCCAGTCTTCGCAAACCTAGCAATCCTTTTCAGCGCCTCACAACAACCTCCAACCTCTACAAAACTCGATACACAGCAGTTCAACTACATCGTAAATCATCGCACTCACTTGTTTCGCTGCACAAATCCTGACCCCCCACACCCTCCGCCGTCAAAGCCTTCTGTATAGTAATCGACGGACTCTCCAGGGCCTTCACAATCTGCTTTGCCGCAAAAGCTGCGACCCTTTGCACGCCAACCTGAGCATAAGGAAGCACAAAAGACGGGAAAATCGTAAACACATGGGGCAAGTGCTCGTGCACGTCGAGCTCCCAGTTGGTCACGCCGTCCGACTCGGCCTTTTGAGCCAGTCGCACTGCATGTTGGTAGATATAGTCAAAGCTAGCAGCCTGCACAAACACAGGCGGAAGGCCCCGTAGATCACAGTGAACAGAAGAAGCATCGAGCCAAGTGGTTGGGTCTGCAGCCGTCGTGTGGTAGCCCAGTCGGCCAGCCGCAATCATTTCTGGAGACAAAAGACAGCGAGCCGACGAGGCCTCGGGATCCCCGCGGGCCTCAACTTCCGATAAATCGACCGCAGGGCAGATCAACGTTGCAGCTAAAGGCAGGAGCTCCTTGCGCTCGTCTCGTATTCGTAGTATAGTCGACATCACTAAGCCACCCCCGGCACTATCCCCTGCAAGAATAGTCTGCTTGGGGACAATCCCTTCCGTCTCAATCAGGTACTTGTAAGCAGCAACCACATCTTTCGGAGGTGTCGGGAAACAGTGTTCAGGTGCCTTGCGGTAGTTCCCAAGGAAGACGTCAACCTGGATCGACTCTTTCGAGCCAAGTTGATGGCGGAGCTCGTGTTCAATCGCACTTGCTAACGTTGCTCCAAACGTGATGTAGAACCGAGGACTCATGAGTGTACACCCACCTCCGTGAATGTAAAGCACCACGAAGCGCTTGGCGAGTGGTGTCGATGGAACTGCAGACCGCAGCCAAATATGTTCCAGGTTATTAATGTGCACAGCTTCGAGCCGCCGGCCATGCTGTCGACATGCAAACCAGCCCAAGAGCGTGCCGAAAGCAGCACTCTGTGATCGGAGGGCACACGCGTGCTTGGCATTCATCACCATGAGCTTCCCACGGGGCCCTCGAGTGCATTCTCGGATCACGGCACACAAAACTTCAAAGCCAAGAGTCCAGTTCTGGTAGCGTGGCTTGCATCCGCGTGCGACGAACCAAAAGGTCGTCGAGCTCACGACTGTGGCTAAACGTGCTACCAAGCGCACGGCTTCCCACGGAGAGCTGCACATTCCCTTAAAAGTCACGTGGACAATTGCCATCACTAATGCGCCGGTAGCACTACCAAAGAGCAGTCGCAAGATCACTCGTCGTCGTCGCTCAGCAGCTGCCCAAAAGTGGCTCAGCACATTCAGTTGAGCTCGTGTCTTGATTGACTCGGTGAGTGGTGCCATTCAACTTGGTGCAGAGCTTGCAGCTTCAGAAATGATGGCCAGGTCAGAGTGAGGTCACAATGTTTCAGCTCGTGACAGGATGGGACACCGTCCCTTGTGGCACATTCAACCACATCGGATGACGACGACGACGACGACGACGACGATGACAACGGCCGTTAACGGCTTCATGCCTTTTTCACACTGCCATCATTTACTCCTTACCGACGAGGGTCCCACACGGAGCAAACGGTCGATCAGGAGACCACCAAGTCTGTTCAATGATGCCGTGATCCTCGCCTTCCATCAGCATTTTTACGCGAAACGACACCAGAAAGACACGGGCCAAAAGTGCGTGGAGCGAATCTACATTCATTTGGTCCCGACTACCAAAGAGATGGTGAAGAAGGCCGAGTGATCAGTCATCTAGCCTCCATCTAGTATCGTCGCTTCTTCTTCGTACGGCCCTGATTACTACGTGCTGCTTGGATGTTGCCAGCCACACGGTGCGTGTACTGCACAACAGCTTCATCAGCCATGATCTCGTCCGTAAACGTTTGGCGACGCTGTTTCTTGGTCAGTCGAGCCGAGTGGAACTCGTGTGCGCCTTCGATGACTTGACCCATCTGGAAATGCTTGGGCAGTGCGCGCGAGTGGTCAGAACTCTTGTAGAACTTTTTCGGGTCCAAGTAGTTTCGCATCCGCAGGAGAGCAAAGTCGCGACGGGCGTCAGCCGTCATCTCTTCCGACTCAAAGTTGAACCAGCGACGACCCGCTGACTTTTTGTGTTGCGACTCGACGCGTTGTCGCTCTGAGTGGGCAACCGCTTTCCGGCTGGCTGCAATGATTTTAGCCTCTTCTGTTGCCTGGGCATCCGCCCGCAGCGCCGCTGCAGTCGAGCGCTTGGTACCACCAAAGCTAAAGAACTCCTGAAACTGCGAAGCATCGCTGTCAAGCTGGTCCGACACCATCCGCCGCTTCACCAAAGCAGCGGTAGCCACAGTCCGTTTCACCGAAGCAGCTATTGGCTCGGATTTTGAACCACTTGGACATCTCGACGACAAGTTGAGTCCTGATGCAGCAAGCAGCGCCTGCAACCCCAAACAACAACCTCAGCTTAGAACATGAAACCACAGAGATAAAAATGGACCTAAACACATGCATTTTATCAGCAGAATCCACGTACGTAGTGCTCAACATCTTCGTCCTCTTCTTCGTCCTGTTTTATCACTATCAAGTCTCCATCATCCTCATCATCCGCAGCTCCAGTCTCTGTCTTCCAACTCGTCTGCTGCTTCTCGAGCTCCACAATGGGTACACCCTGCGGGTCCAGCAGTTGGTTTGACTCGCTTCGTCGTCCAGGAACCTCCTCCTTCATCTCCTCTGACGTGCAATGGGGTTCACAAGCAGTCGCACTAGTGGGTACAATCGAGCGTTCAGTAGACGGCGTGGGGCTCGAGGCTACAGCTGCCGCTTTGGCCTGGAGCCGACGCGACGTCCGACGGGTCTCGACCATAGAAACGTTGCACACTGATTGGTTGGTTGGCGCGAGTTCTAGGTTGAATTTCACGGTAGCCGAGAGAGTGTAGCTTGTAAAAGAGTTGTAGCTTTTGAGCTTGAGCTGATCGATGGTCGTACAGCGAACGACTTGTAGGTCGCCTATTTTCGTACGAGCGTGTCGTTGTGGTCGTACAAAACGAGTGATTGTGATTATTACTGTTGCAGTCATAATTGTTGGGATTTTTTTGTGCTGTCGGTACTTTCACACTTTAGGAATGGGCCGCAAGACTTCCAAGGCTGTAGGCAAAAAGACTCATGCGGTTCGTCGCACCGTCTCGTGTCTTGCTATGCGTTCACTTTTGCCTCTTTTCCTGTGGTTGTTATGACTTTTTTGGTGTTGTTTTGTACCAGAAAATCATGTTCGACACCAAAGAGCTGGACAAATTCATGCCGAAGACCCAACGGCGGAAACAGAACAAGACCAAGAAATCGTCGCACGTAGTGAACGATGAAGCTCTGGAGCTTATGCGGAAACAGTTGAACAGCATTGGCTGCAAATTGCACGTACGATTGGAGCTAAACAGCATCTTGAAGCCGTTGAGAAAAATGGCATCGACTTTTCTTGTCGGTCTTTTTTTTACTGCTATAGGAAGTCGAAGCTGACGGAAATTGTCTCTTCCGGTACGTCAGTTGGTAAGGAGCCTTTGTCATGCAATAGTCGCAGAAGTTCAGACTCGTGTTGCAGTGCGCTCGCTGATCAAATCTTCGGTGACCAAACCCAACATCAACAAGCTCGAGACGTCCGTATTGAGTTGGCAAGTTATCCTATGTTCGGATACCGAGGCTGATAGTGCAAGTGCTGTGTACTTGACAGGAGATTGTGGAGTACATGGAACATCAACGAGAAGACTTTGAGCCGTTCATGGAAGATGAGGAAAAGTTTGAGAAGGTGGTTCTGCTACCTGGCAGATGTTTCCATGTGTGTATGTGTGCAGCGATGATGGGAGGACGTCCTGACTCTTACTTTTGTGTCTCTGGAATAGTACTGTGAGCGGATGCGAAGCGATGGTACGTGGGGTGGCAATCAAGAGCTATACGCTGCAGCTCGACTTTTCCAGGTATACGTGGTCGTCCATCAAGACCAACCGAGTGCCCGGATAATGGTCATCGAGTGCGATCGACTGAAGCCTACGCGATTCGTCCATGTCGCTTACCACGGCGAAGATCACTACGACAGTGTGCGTCGTATAACGGACCCCGTCAATGTTATTGGATTGCCAGTTCCGATTGAGCTTGATTGTGACGGCTATCGCCCTCACGATTTTGCAAAGGTGCGTGCACTCGTTGTGTATTCTCTTCGTTGCTGTACTGAGTTTGTGTTGAGGGACTTTTTAATCCTTTAGCGATGGCAGACACACGCTTCTGCTGCTGCAGCTGTTGATCAGTTGGATCAGTTTGTTGGTCTGGAGCCGCCTACGAGTTTAGCCGACGATGGAATTGATCGACTGGCCAGTAGTCTCAGTGTACAGCTACAAGTCGCAGACGAAACGGGTCATGGCGCAACTAGTAAGACTATGAGCAAGAAAGAGCAGCGACAAAAGCGCAAAGCCGCTAAGATGCAAAAGAAGCTACAATCGAAATTGAAGTGAGCGGAAACGCTGGCGCTGTCCACGATAAAAACGATCCGGACGCAAGAACGGAGCGATGGAATCAAAGAAACAGATTACTCGCGCCGGATGCCGGACTTCACAATCGCGCTTTTGACCCAACTTTCGCGCGTGGCACATCAAATTCTGCTAGATGGCTCAATCGTGCGGTACCAACTACCGATTGCGCATTGTAACTGCGGACGTCAAATGTGATGGGTAACTAAGACTAGACTCCATTGAACGATGCCATTCCACTGGTATGTAGCACTACAAGTTTTTTGTGAAGTCGTTTCGTTTATTACGTCACACGCACATCGGTACAAATTCGAATCAAATACGATCAGAGCCACGTCGAGTTACAGTCGTTGTGATACAACATCTAGACGATTCAATCTGTGTAAGACGCGTCATTCATCAAGAAGGTTCTTGCTTCAGTTTCTGCGTGAAGTCGAAGCAAGAACAAAGTTTTCGATAGCCCTGATGTCATTAAAATATGAGCTGTAAGTTAAATGCGAGCAATATGCGCATTCACATGCGCCAGGTGCTGAGTTGATGCAGCACGACGTCGGTAAACTATCACGGAACGATCCTGCGTTCGTTGCAAATACATTCTCGCGATTGTACAAGTTGTGCATGAGCTGACAGTATCGATCGTGACACTCCTAAGCTGGAACCTGACGTGCTTATCGAAAAACAAGTGAAGGTGTTGTGGCGATTGACCGCACAAATCTACACATTATGACAAATGTCCTGCCTTGTTTGCTGTTGACATATCGCGAAGAAATGGATGAACAGAACAGTCAGTTTGGTACTACCTGCTTCGCATACATCCTGATAACCAATTCTGCTAACCCTTCCCAATGTGTAATTTGCCCTCATGAATATGCTCAAAGTTTTGCCTACAACAACAGGGCCATCGATAGAAGCGTGCGTGCCCACGTTGTTGCAAATACCCGCCAGTTTCTGCACTTCTGACACCGAAAAGCAAACCAAGGTCGCTCAAAAACTTGCAGGGGTTTACATCATTATCCGATAAATCAGACAGTGGTGAGAACCAGGCTGAGGGCGCCATTGTAGGACCAATCGATTACCCATCCGCGATGTCTCAACGAAGTCACTTGCATTGATTATTCAATTTATCGCCCGACATTGAAGAAACAGATGCGGATTGCCGAGCATCTTGAGCTATCCGTGGAGCTCATGTAAGTACAGTGTGCATGGTTGTGCTTCCGAGCACGGACGACAAACGGTCAGATGTTTTTACTCACGTTGCATCTCGATTACGATAGTGACCGGCACTTCGTGTCTCCACCGTAAAGTTTTAGCTAACTGAACATTAGGGACGCAAGTACTCACATTGTTTCTGTGCAGCTCAAGTTGTCATGGCGCAAATTTTAGCTGAACCTGACCTATAGATTGGCGCATTACATCAACTGATACAGTCTGAGCGAAGGCCAGATCATTGTTGTGAGGATTTCGTATCATCGTTTGCCAGTTCTTGCTGCTTTTCTCTCATCTGACCAGCAAATTCCACCAAATATCCAGAAATGTTATAAAAAAGGCACTTAAGAAACTACCTCCAGCATTGAAAGACACATAATCAACTGAACCTTTTCCTGGACTTCTTGCAGACACTTCCAGCCAAAGAGAATGCGCTTCGAAATAGCTTCGCTATCCTATTGCAACATTTTTGCCAAATATAACATTAGGGTCTGTATTGTTTTATTTGGGCCAAGATAACGCCAACCGAACCGTCTCGTAGCGATTCTGCTCGATCTCCATGCACGCGTTTTTACGGAGTATAGAGGACCAAGGCTGTCCTTGTTCATTGCAGTGGGAAAACATGCCCGTGGAGCGCAGGACCTCGCGGTACAAACGCAGCACCTCTTTCCTCTTGTCAAGTAGTACCATCTTTGGTGTTTCATTCAAGTATGATATTTCAACATTTATGGACAAGTAAGGTGCACTATCCAGCGCAATAATCTCAATAGGTCCACTTTCGAATCAGAAGTTTACTCTCGATCGAGCAATCCACGGTAAATGTGAATATGGTTCAACGACCGATATGCTCGAGAACGAATCTCAGAGTACTTACATGGACACTCGACGTGGGGATCGACTATGGTTAGGTAGTCACAAGCCAATAGCTATTATATCTCTAGAGCATTAATACAGTGTGGAGCAGAGCCGTACGTCTGGTACTAGTGTCCAAGCCAAGAATGATACAGACGTTGTTGAAAGGAAGGTGTACGTATGAACATCAGTCTCCGTAGCTGTAAAAGAGGTTCTCTCTTCGTGATGAAGACTTTGTAGAGGGAAAGATCGAGCTTAGTCCGCGTGAAATAGTGTGCCATACTGATGTCGATGTTGATGATCTTCTTCATGTTTACAAAAAGGTATTGAAGAGTAGAAACATTTGGTGGTCACCTTTCGCGAACTAGGTGCATTCGCTGAGAATTGGCGGACCGACTATAGTGTGGTGCTTGAAAAGCGATGTCACTTGACCGGCTGCGAGGAGTCGATAGCACAACGTTGCTATCGACTCACGCTGCAAAGCAGCACATCAAGTCATAAACAGCTCCATTCGAAGTCCCCGGTTCTACAACGATGTGGTCCTGGGTGCACCCGAGCCTGTTGTGTGTAAAAAATGTCGAGGTGTAATCTAAGCTACGTCCCGCTGCTCAACTGTGCAGCTTATTCCTGCTATGAACACGAATTCAGAAGCACGTGATAGTACAGCGGCTCTTTATGCAAAGACTGCCAGCTTTATCCAGTAGTGATCACCTCACTACACGAAAACGAGCTAAGTATGCTGCGCCTCGACCGCAAGAACGATACCAAAAGTCAAATCGATTAACAACTGTAGCGGGTGCTTGTGTCTGCTTAAGTACGTTTATGCTGGAAAAGTTTCGAATGCTGTCCCGGGATCAACCGGGCGGTCATCGTCGTACCATCTGGTGCTCGTGATGAAGTGTGCACCACCTTAATTAAGTCACAAAAGATTACTAATTAGAGCATCGAATTGCAGTCGCGGTCGTCACGAAACGAGAAGGGAGTCAATGCGAAGGTTTTTCTGACACAATCGCGAAATGTTACGCGAAGGTACACTGCCCATCATTCGCAATCCCCTCCTTTGTCACAAAATGAAGGGGCTGATCCTCGTAGGCGGCTTTGGCACGCGGCTGCGGCCGCTCACGCTGTCGTGCCCGAAGCCTCTGGTGGAGTTCTGCAACAAGTCGATCGTGATGCATCAGATCGAGGCGCTCGTGGCGGTACGAAGCGTCACGTGTGCCTACATTCATTGATTTTGACATCAAGCTGTCAAAAATATCGATCGCGTTTTTGACATTTCTGTCTAAAATGTTTGTTTGGTAAATAAAAAAACAGGTTGGGGTGACGGAAGTAATTTTGGCGGTAAACTACCAGCCCCAAGTAATGCTAGCCGCTCTGGAGTCGATGGAAGAGAAGGTGCGAACGCTTATCATGACGACTGCGCTGTCGTTTTTGGACACTTTTAGTATCGCGTGGTTTGGATGGTGTTGTCAAAATGTATGTCAATAATTATGGTTTCTATCTTTGACAGTACCACATCAAGATCTCGTGTTCTCATGAGACGGAGCCATTGGGTACTGCTGGGCCATTGGCTCTAGCACGGGAGCTACTGGATGACGGCGACCCGTTCTTTGTGTTCAACAGTGACGTCATTTGCGAGTACCGTCTGCAAGACTTTCTTGACTTCCACAAGGCTCATGGGGCAGAAGGCACTTTGTTGGTAACCCGAGTGGACGAGCCGTCAAAATACGGCGTGGTGATTTCGAACGATGACGGACAGATTCAGCGCTTTGTGGAGAAGCCGCGTGAGTACGTGGGCAACAAGATCAATGCCGGCATCTACATTTTCAACCGTGAAGTGCTGGACCGTATCCAGCTGCGTCCGACGTCGATTGAGAAGGAGGTGTTCCCGCAAATGGCAGCAGAAGGGACGTTGTTCTCGATGGTGCTGTCGGGCTACTGGATGGACATTGGGCAGCCGAAAGATTTTTTGTCGGGCATGTGTTTGCATTTGGACTTTGTGGAGCGCACGAAACCCGAGACTCTGTCGATTGGAGATAAGTACATTGGCAATGTGATGGTGGACCCGACTGCGGTGATCGGCGAGGGATGCTTGATTGGTCCGAACGTCGTCATTGGTCCGGGATGTGTGATTGAAGATGGTACGATTGGTGGTGGTGGATGCTGGCGTGCTTGTGTTGATCGCTGTATTGACCTATTGTTTCACTTCATATACAGGCGTTCGACTAAGCCGGGCGACGCTGCTTCGTGGTGTAACGGTTCGCGCTCACGCATGGATCCATTCGAGCATCATCGGATGGGGCTCAACCATTGGTCGATGGGTGCGTGTTATCATCTCGTTGCGGTATATATCGTTCTAGGAGACACTTATCCCTGCACAATGTGTCGCGTGTTTCTTTTACTTTTTAGTGCCGAATCGAAGGGATTACTGTTGTGGGCGACGATGTGCAGGTAAAGGACGAAAAGTTTATCAACGGCGGCCTCATCCTGCCGCATAAAGCCATCTCGGACAGTATCCCTGATCCAGGTACCATCGTCATGTAACTGGGAAGTATCATCAGTGCAGCAGCCATCGACCACGATACTGTGCCTTGCTGGTGAGAAGTGCTTGTTGCTCGTTTCATGTTTCGCTTTCAACCAACAATGAACAGCAATTGAATTCCTGGTCGGTCGTTCACACACATCGTTTGCGCTTTTCTATTCCAAGAGCTCATTTGCATTCCATAGCTTGCCTGTAGATACAGGCGTCTATACATACAGCTGGACAAGTGCCTGCTTTTTTCGTACGCAAATGTGCGTCTGCGCCGTTGAGGTAGACCGATAACGGAGAGGTAAATAGTAATGATCATTGGAGGGGAGCTTGTTTACTATGCGAACGTAGACCAGAAGTATCTCGGGTTTCCATTTTGCTTTCGAGATGCTCGGTGCGATTGCGAACAACGTGGATATCATCGATTATGTCCACGTAATTATCCTCGGCAGCTCTGCGAAGCTTAGCGCGGTCACGATGACGGTAGGCGCCCTTGAGCGTTTCACCGAAAGCAACCATGACCAGGGCAAACACCATTGAGAACATCCACTCGTACCACTCGATGTGTGTAAAGCCGAAGATATCATCATTGACAACGGGAATATTGGTGACGGACAGAGTCAAGACCAGCGAGCCCAAAGCAGCCATCTGCATCCACTTGTTGCTGAACATATCTTTGCAAACCGATTTTGTAAAGCTGCGAGCGGTGTAGGCACGAAGCATCTCCATGGTCGTGATGTAAACAAAGGCCATCGTTTGTGCGCGCGACGTGCCTTCAGAGACACACTCGTAGTCTCCGCCGTAGCACAGTAGCTCGTTGCTCTCGTAATACTGCAGCGCTTGGATATTTTCGGCAAAGAGGTACGTACCGTTGAGATCACGCGCCCCGCAATTACTATACTCCTGTCTAACTTTACCCAGGCCCATCCAGCGAGAGCACACGACATTCCTGTAGGCACCTCGACCTATGTCTGTATCAATACTAGCCGTGATGTCATCCAGCAAAATGTGCTCAAAGTTCCAGTACAGACCACAAATGAACACTAGCAGGGCACCAGCAGCGATTAGCAAGGCATTTGACAGCACGATGACCCAGAGACGGCCAAAGATAATGCGCTTGGAACGAGGACGAGGACGCTCTAACATCACTGAGCCATCACCCTTTTCAAGGCTCAGTGCTACAGCAGCCATGCCGTCAGCAAACAGATTGAGCACCAGAATTTGCAAAGGTTCCAGAGGATTGGGCATGCCAATGGCAATAGCAGTGAAGATCAGAGTGATCTCCCCGAAGTTGGTCGACAGCAGGAAGCACACAAAGCGCTGGATATTGCCATAAATCTGACGGCCCTTCTTGACGGCAGAAACAATGCTGCAAAAGTTGTCATCGGTCAGAATCATCGCTGACGCACCTTTGGCAACGGCTGTACCGGCAATTCCCATTGCCACGCCAATGTCGGCTATTTTCAGCGCAGGTGCGTCATTGACACCATCGCCAGTCATTGCTACGACGTGACCTTGACGCTGCAAAGACTTGACAATCTCGAGCTTGTCTTCAGGTCTCGCGCGCGCGAACACGGACACTTGACTCGTGAGTTCATCCAGCTCTGCATTGGACACGTACAGATTCGGGCGCGAGCGCAGTACCCCACAATCCACGGCTTTTACGTCAATATCATCACCACCAACTGGCAAAAGGTCAATATCACGAGCAATGGCCACAGCCGTTTTGAGGTAGTCCCCCGTTATCATGACAGTCCGAATGGACGCTTGCCGAGCAGCCTGAATGGCACCCTTGACACCTGCTCGAGGAGGGTCAATGGAGGCAACGAGACCGATAAAGATCAGGGATTCACAGAGAGCTTGACATTTCGCCTCGTCATCTTCATCTTCTTCATTTGGAAACGGCATCTTGTCTAATGGACGAATTGCGACGGCAAGGACACGAAGTGCTTCAGACGACAGCGTGTCGACAGCTTTCAAGATGCAATTGCAGTCACGATTGGTCAAAGTCGCAATCGATCCGTCGTGACGCAACATCGAGGTGCAACGCTTGACAATGTAATTCGGAGCTCCTTTGACGTTGGCAACCAATTTGGTCGTGCAAGGCAGTTGCAACAAGTCCAACTGCGACGTGCCAGCTGGAAGCTCATTCACAGTGACCATCATCTTTCTCGTAGATGAGAACGGTACCTCTACAACTCGAGAGTACATCTGCATGGCCTTTTCACGGCAGATACCTGCTTTGGCAGCTGCAACAACGAGTGGGGCTTCCGATGGATTGCCCATTGGGACCCACATCAAAGCACCATTGTCGTCTTCCCCTTGCTGTAACCTCGTATTGCTGCACAATGCTGCCGATAACAATGTCGTACGCACGGGAATGGACACTGATGGTCCCTTCGTTTGGCTTTCACCGTCGCGAAGGATGTCTCCGGTCGGGTTGAACCCCGTGCCAGTGATCTCATACTCGACGGCATCGCTCCAGAGTTTCACAGCCGTCATTTTTCCTTCCGTCAGCGTCCCTGTCTTGTCCGTGCAAATGACCGAGCTCGCACCAAGTGATTCCACTGCAGCCAATTTACGTACGAGGACGTTCTTCTTCACCATATCGGCTGTACCAGTGGACAAGCAAATGGTGACTACCATGGGTAGTCCTTCAGGTACTGCACTGACAGCTAGCGAGACGGCAATCATGACGACATTGAGCCACACTGCACGATCGGGATGCTTTGGATCGGCATTACCCCGCACCATTCCAACGATGAAGACAATGATGCAGACACCGAGCACAACGGCGCCCATGAAGACACCGAGTTTGTGAAGACTGAGCTGCAAGGGAGTCATTTTAGGAGAACTGCTGTCCTTGAGTCGACGGCAGCAGTTGACGTCGTCCGATTTTTTATGGCCTCCACTTTTTAGCAGCAAAGCGATTGATCCAACTCGTGTGGACATCCCAGTCTCCACGACAACCCCAGTGGCACTGCCCACTGCAATGGAAGTGGAAGCAAACACCATGTTGTTGGCCGTCAATTTCTCGCTGGAACTGTTCGCACACTCCGCGTCAACTTTCTTCAGCACGTCCTCGGATTCACCCGTCAAGATCATTTCATTCACCTTCAAGCCGGCGCTCGAGACGAGACGAATGTCAGCAGGTACGATATCCCCTGTCGTGAGCACAACCATGTCACCAGGGACGAGCTGGTCACTTGGAATCTGCACATGGCGGCCGCCATCCCGCAGCACCATGCACTGTGGAGACGTCATTTTCTGAAGGGCTTCAAGAGCGTTGCTGGCATTGTACTCCTGGACCGTAGCAATCACTGCATTCAGTGTCACGATAGCAATGATCGCCACCCCTTCAACGTACTCTTGCAGAGCAACGGAAGCTACTGCTGCAGCCATGAGGAGACCTATGATCACATTGGTAAACTGCATCACGAACATGACAATGACCGACGTCTTTGTCTCTTCGTCCAAGGAATTGCGACCGTTCACTTCCAGTCGATGGCAAGCATCTTCCGTTTCCAAACCACACGCAGCATCAACGTCAAGGTCCTTGAGAATCGCCACGACGGACTTTTCATGCCAAGGGCGTTGACGTTCTTCTTGACTGGCGTCTTTATCACCAAAAGTCTCGTGGCGTTCCAGCCTATTTGAACCAGCTACGACCCGCTCGGCATCGTACGTGATATTCTTCTCGTCACAATTGATGGATCGTTCACTATTGACTGCACTTTGATGGTCCTCAAGACCATTACCAAACGATTTCGCAGCGAGAAGTAGCAGGTGCTGTTTAGCCGCGTCGTTTGAAGATACTACGCTAGAAGTATCCACGGCAGCATATGGAAAAAAAGAAGACGACGGCGTCTCTTCCGCTGTGTCAAGTCCCACTTCGCGCGATTCGAAGCATGAATCACGGTCGTCCAAGTCCAGCAGATCGACCATTCAAGGAATAGTAAGGACGCGAAAGATGTGGGTTTCTCCTGGATCACAAGGAAAAAGCTTTGGCGAAAGCACGAGATATTCGAGAATGGAAGAAGGTGCTGGAAAAATTGAATGCAAGGACCGTAACGATTTGACCGTTAAATGGGTGCTGGGTGGACTTTACAGCAGTTGAATCTTTGTTTCGCGTGTAACTACGAGCGACAGTCAAGTTCTGTAGGTTGCGGCTGCTCGTAAACAGTCTGAACAAGCCAGAACTGACGGTTTTTCGGCGAAAAAACGCTGAAATTTCAGACGCAGACCAAGATGGGGGAGCTAGCTCTGCAGCTCGCCCTTTTGATGTAGGTAATTCAGTTTATAAAACTGAATCAAGTTGCAAAACACGATACGACAGCTGTCACTGAAGAATGTGTACGATGCTGTAAATGTCTGTGGTAAACTAGTATAGTCAGTATACTCGGGCAACGCGATCGGCCTTTAGTTTTAGCGTCCAGCATTTGTGATTATATTCACCTTTGATCAATTTTAAGCCCATCATGCTCGTGCTCTAAAATAGTGACCTAGCCAAAAAGTGACTTCGGACATACCTATGATGGGGACAGGCTAGATCGCACTTAGAACGTGTAAGGTACACCTACTCTACCTAATAATACACTGCTGTTGTTTTTACCGCTACTGCTCCACTGGCAAAAGAGCAGAAGGTATTGAATTGCACCATTAGCAATGCAATGATGAAATGCACAGGATAGAGAAACGTATGTCTACCAAATCAAAGCTCGCGCATAACCAGTACGAACCAGGCGCCACATAGCATCGTCTCCTGAATCACATACCTGACTACTTGGCGTAATTCGTGTGGTACATATCTGTCAACGCCAAGATAGACGGACCAACGCGTGATCAATACGCGCACATTTCGACGTTGCGAATTCTACTAGGTACATTTAGAATCCGTTATTACATACCCGCCTCCAATGCAGCAGCGTTTGTTCGCTCTGCTGGATACCAAAGCCTCACGCTTTTTTTTGGGTGCGTAATCTACGGTCCGTGAGTCCAATTGTTTTTTTTGTGCCGACCGGTGCACAAACTGAAGCAGTAGTCGCAATAGACGAGATAAACGGCATCAACAGCAGCAGTTCGCACATTTCCATTAACTCCGATTAAAATCAAACTGTACGTCGTCGCTTTGCACTGACTGGAAATCAAGCGTCCCACCAGTCTGCTCCGATTCCACCACGGCTGGCCCTAGCGTCAAATCCGTCTCGTCGTCTCCGTTGTCAAACCACGTATCGATCAGCTGCGACGCCATGCTGCTAACATCGTCATTCCGGTCGTAAGACAGCTCCTCTATTTTGGCCAGACACCCGCTCTCCTCGACTGCAAGACGACCTTCCTCTAAATCCTTTTGTAACAAGCTCTCGACTGCCTCGAGAATGACGAGCTCCACCAACGGGTCTTCCCACTCGTCCAGAAGCGGGCAGAACAACCGCAACACGCCCATGTCCACGACTTTCTTGACAAAGTCCATATCAGCTCGCACAATAATGTTGCATAGCGCCCACGTTGCCTCGCGTTTCACGCCGTACTCGGCCCACGACATCTGCTCGACCAACCCAGCAATAACTCCAGGGGCATTCATCATTGCAACCACCTGCTCCTCTTGCCCCCCAGCAATGTTCGACAGCATCCAGCATGCTTCTTCGCGCACGGCACGACTCGTTGCAGTCATAACGCTCGGTATCACCTCGAGCAGCTTTGCGTCAATCACAGCCTGAGAAAACAAGATCTCCGCAGATACAATGTTGCCTAGTAGTCGCAACACCGGTGCAAGGATGATGCTGCTCTGAGAAATGTGCAGGAGCTCAACGAGTCGGGGGCACAACCCTGAGTTGACAAGCCCGCTGACAACGTCACTGTCGTGCAGCGTCATTTCGACTAGTGCCCAGCAGCTGTCGCAGAGTGTAAGTATTTGTTCATCCAAAAGGTCCGTCTCGTCGTCCTCGTCTTCATCTTCGCCGATTACATCGTCCATGACTTGCAGAGGCCGCATGTCGGCCTTCTTTGCCTCGAACACCATATTCTCGCCAGTCTCGTAGTTCACGTCAACATCCATGACTTCGATGGTCAATTCATCCACTTCGCGCACACACCGCACGACGGCAAGATCGTTGGGAGCTGGCTTTCCCGTGTTGATCTACAGCAGCAAAAAGAAACTTGACTATGATCATTACATGCCAACAGTTTACACAAATCTTCAACAACAAGCAGCGTACCTCAAAGATCCGCCATGGAGCCACTGTCACTGCTTGCTTCACTTTGTTCGCTTCATTCTCTTGACCACTCGACGAGGCAAAGTTGCTCACCTTTTCATTCGAGAGCTGGCGAATGATACTCGACAGTACATCCATCATCTCTCGTTTCGTACTTGGACCCATCATGTCACTCTGGTCCAAAACATCTGGAAACTCTACAAGACTACGCAGCAGCCACACGGCAGCGCGCCGAAGTGCAGGAGTCGCCATTCGAATGTGCGGTAGCACAATAGTCGGCGGACAAGACTTGACAATCTCCTTGCAACACTCAGCCGAAGCTGATGCAATATTGCCAAGACACCAGGCCGCTTGAATCTGCAGCTCGGAAATACCAGATTGAAAAAGCTGCACGAGCTTGGGCACAGCCCCTGATGTGATTACAGCACTGGCCTTGTCCATGGACGAGATAAACCGCAGGGCGAAAGCTGCGTCCGAGTGTAGCTGCACGGCATTGGCATCCACCAGCTCTTCGTTCAAAATGGCTACAAAAGAGGGCAAAGCAGCCAAAATCGTGTGCCACAGCCCTTCATGCTGCGAGTCGCTCTTATTAAAGAGCGGTGGTACCCCACTGGACAGCAAATAAACAAATGCCCGCATGGCTTTTTGTCTCGTTAGGGCATCAGAATGCTCGATACCTACAGCAGTGACACATATTGAAAAAACAGTCACAAGAACAATAATTGTGAATTGATGTCCATGTCAAAACGAAATCCATTCGACAATTTATTTTTGTACTTCACATAGAAATAGAAATGCAGACATTGATAAAACAAATGTGACGGGAATGTACCGAGAAGCAAAGATTGTGACCGCGAGGCTAAATTTAGTAACAGCTCCTTGCGACTCGCAGTCTGTGCAGTAGCCGGTGGGTGGTTGGCCTTGAGGTTGCGACGCATGGCGTACGCGTCCTCCTTCTTGGCTTTCCGGATTGACAACATGGTGTCCTGGCGGTTGCGGCGGCCTGTGAGCACGCCCACGTGCCCGCCCACTTTGACCGACTGGCGGGTCGTCATAGCGTTCGTTTAGAAACGAAGGCCTCCTCTACCTGGATGACGAAGTTACGGTCGCTCGAAAGTCTAGGTTGAAATAGAGACTTTGGACGACGTGGTGTGGTTACGCAATGTAGGGAAAACCCGATGGACGACCGAAACTTCGTGAGATGCGTAAGTACGAATTTCGATAACAGTTGATGAGGTATCCACTTGTTTAAACGGTTTTAGGCAAAGCTGAGCTCGATAGCGCACATGCTTTTTGCCAGGGCCGATGAAACAGCAACCTCGAACGAACGGTCGCTTCCATGCGCTCACCTCTGCTTATCAGCTCTTCTTAGACTTTCGTACTTTGGCATTCTTGATGCTTCTCAGGAGCTTCTTCTCTCTTCACGTCGTCCATAAGGTAGCGTCGAAATGACCAACTGTGATGGTTTCGACCATGAGTTCTTTTACACACCGAAAAAAGCTGAGCAAGTTCACATCGCGGCAGCCGCTTATAGTTGATGGACGACCCCATTTGACATTTGCGCAAGCCATAAATAACACTCGAATAGCATCTTCGTTATCTTCAACAAATACTTTCGGTGTACAAGTGACAGGAGGCAAAGCTCAAATGGGCTCATCGTCATATGAAAAGCTACGAAGCCCGATTCGACTGGATGTCACACGTCCTCGGATTTCCACGTGATTCCAATAGTCGACAGTTGTCGATCTGTGTATCTCAAGTAGATACTTACATGCCTATAACTTTGCTGCTATCCACGAGCAGTCAGGGGTAGCACGAAAACGCATCCAATCACATTGTCTGGCGAATGTGAAGACTGCTGCTCGGATGTCCAAGTGTCCATGCTATCAGCACCTTGGCCTTCCAAGTTGATATGAATGATCATGAAGACTTGCATGAATTATAATACAATCAATCTATCAAGCTGAAGTCTGTAAAAAGTAATTGTTGTCCATTGCCTATTCACGATCATCGTCAGCTGCCCTATACCCAAGTATCGTCAGCTGCCCTATACCCAAGTATCTCTCACCGAGAACAAGCCTACAGCCCTTACCGCCAACTACCAATGCTCATTATTCCATCAGCGTCATTTGGATTGTGGTCAACCTTATCGATAGTCCAAACCTGCTCGATTCTCATGAACAAACATGTCGTCCTAGCTGAGTCCACTGGAGGTCTCCCTCTATCCAGTTCCTCGCGATCTTCAGGTTTGCCAGCTTTCGAAAGTTGCATTGCACTCAATCCATTTTCGCCCCACCCGCTACACTCGAGGGCCTTGATGTTGAAGGATTGCCGTACGTGGTAGACATCCTCTGCGAACTGCACCGAAATCGTTTGGCAAAATCAACCGCTGGGTCAACAATTGCGCAGTCGCAGACGGCGGTCAATTGCAGCTGCCATCTTCTGGTCGAGCCTTCTCTCTGCAGGGTAAAAGCATCATCCCAATTTTCACTCATCTTTCATCATGCAGTATCGTACGAGCGTAGTTTGGTCACCAACGAACTCTACCAATTTGTCGCTTACACCCTCGAATATGCCTATTCAGTCAGAGAGAGATCCGTAGCAGGATCAGTTACGGCAGTCAACGACGCCTGTAGCTGGGGAATTGGCATCCGAAGTAATTTGGATTTGTCATCAGCTGGCGTTGCACGACTATACGACCAACACGCGTTTCGTCTCTGTCTTCCTCGGGTGCGACGCTGTGGTTGCAGTACAGGGAGGTTCCTGTACTGCAACCTTATTTTTTCTAGTTCAACTACAAGCGCAGAGGCACACAGACGCCTCATTTTCTACAAAGCCGACCTCTGACCACCTGTACTTGCGCGGAAGACCGAGACATTAGTGCACAATAGTCCACAAGTATTCAGTGTTCCTATGCCGTGAGAGGTGGTATAGCACTTCCTATAAACTGCCGTCCTCTGACGCGACCCTGCTCGACATTCAGAAGAACATTTTGATGACAAAGAGCTGCAGCTCAAGACTCGTTCTGTGGACTCGATCGCTTCGCTTTCGTTAGCACGAGCTATAGATCTGTACATTTCAAACGAGTCTTCTCGCGCCTGCATCTTGTCGCTTGCAGTGAACCGATGGTACAAGAAGTCCAACTCTTTCTAAAGTTCAGGCTAACAACATATTTCTGGAAACTGTACAGGTCCGTACGCCTTTACAGCCTTGTAACTAATCACTCCTAGGATCTGTATCTCAAAACTCGCTGCTGTAACACCTTGCAAGGCTTTAGCAGCAGAAGACGAGGACCACGTTCGCTTATGAGGCAACGGGACGAGTTTCTACAGGCAACAAACACACTGTAGAAACTTGGATCGAAGAATGCTAGAGTACCAAGATGAATGCGTGGCAAGTCTGTCAGGACAGGGAGCGCCGGAATTGCAAAAGCTTTCGTACATTGGATGTGCCTTTCATAAGTAAAGATTGATGGGCAGGGGTGACATGAGATATAGCAACACATGTCAATCGTCTCTGTGCAGCACATGATTTCCCACACGATGTGCAATAGGGACTTGAAACAGACCAGGCCAGCCCAGCGTCTGCTGTAGGACCTCTCATAGAAGTGACTCTCTCGTCCCCAAGCCAACCGTGTGACTTGCAGACACGGGTCACTATGCGACAGCAGTGACATCTGCATCATGGCACCGACTTGAAACATAAGCAAGTTACAAGCTCGCTCAACGCACCGTCCAGTACATTGACGATAGCCATGAGCACATAGTACGCGCCTATACCTATCAATACAAGAAGACGATCTGTGTTGCGACCACGTGAATTCTCGCCATGCTCTGCACGTATCTACTTGTCAAACGATACAGTCACTGTATGCGCAGGGTGGCAGTTCGTCTTCCGCCTCGCGTTGTAGTCAGGTATTCAATGGCCGACTACCATTCAAATTCCCTCCATGTGAAAAGGTCATTTTTCGAATGAGATCCAGCGTCTCTGTTAAGACAGACGACAGCTCCGCACATCCTGCTGTATCAGCTCTGCATGGTTAGTAACACTATGCTCAGCGCCCCTTTATCAACAAAGCCAGCATCTGCCTAGTCACATGACCGACAAGTTGAAGAAGATCGAGTCTGCCACGGTGCTAATGCACCGAATCTCTCGTCCAGTGAATTCCACTTGCTGCTAGCGAAACTTCAAGGACAATGCCAACCCTCACTCGCTTCACCAGTGGATCAAACCCGATGAGCTCTCCATGACAGTTCGGTCATTATCCAACTTGCAGCGTCAAAGCGACAAGCTCTTGGATCCCTTGTCAAAGCTAAACTAAACATCAGAGATATCGCCATTTCTTCCTCGACATCATGCTCTCAAGCACCTTTATCTTCGGTATCTCCGCTACCGCTCTCCTCTCCAGTCTTCAGATCATTCATGCTGAGACCGTGACGATCGAGGCCAAGCCTGGGACCGACCTCTTCCATCAATTCCGACCGGTTTACCACTTCCAGGCTCGAGAAAAGTGGATGAACGACCCATGTGCCCCTTACTATGATGAAGCCACGGGATTGTATCACCTGTTCTACCAGTTGAATCCGAACTCGACCATTTGGGGCAACATGACATGGGGCCACGCCGTGTCGAAAGACCAAGTGACGTGGAAGGACTACCCGGATGCCCTTCGTCCATTCGAAGACAAGTGGGATCGCCTCGGTGTGTTCTCGGGCTTTGCCATGAACAACGCCATTGACGGCAAGCAAACGGTCTTCTACACGGGTGTCACCGCACTCCCCATTGCGTGGAGGAAGGAGTATCTCTTCGGAGAGCACGTCGTGTACGCTACGACGGACGATGGCGGCAAGACGTGGCAAAAGGGTCGAAAACCTCTCATTGAACGGCCACCACCAGGTCTCGACGTGACTGGCTGGCGGGACCCGATGCCGTTCCATTCCAAGTCCCTGGATCGATATTTTGGCTACACCTCTAGTAAGAACGGCAGTAGCAATAGCAGTAGCAGCAGCAGTAACTACCTGATTGTTGCTGGTGGTCTTCGGGACGTCGGCCCACGCGTTTTCCTGTACCATGCTGAGGACTATGTGAACTGGGAGTACAAGGGCTACCTGCTTGCCCAAGAGAAGAACACGACCTTCTCTCCGTACAGTGCAGGCTGGGGCTACAACTTTGAGACCACGATCTACCGTGAAATGGTGGACGACGACGGCGAGCTCCACAACGTGATGCTGTTTGCTGCAGAAGGAGAAACGAATCGGTACGCGATGTGGGCCACGGGATCGTTCGCCTCCAGTCGTGGCTACGGGTTTGACTTCGAGACGGATGTTTCCGAAGCGGGGCTGTTCACTCCTCTGATGGTCGGGGTGTCCGATAACAGCGACTGGTATGCCAACAGCATTTACACGGACAAGGAGGGCAAGAACGTCCTCATCGGTTGGATCACCGAGGACAACAACTTTGCGACGGGACAACCGCAAGGCTGGGACGGAATTTTATCACTGCCACGAGAAGTGGGGATCGCGATTGTGCGGGACATCTACGACCGGGACCGCCACCTCGTGGGCAAGGGCGACTGGATCGTGTCCGACTCGAAGGACGTGCCGTGCGCTAATGGTTCGTCGAAGCAGAGCAAGACCATTAAGACCCTTGGTCTGAAGCCTCTGAGAGACCTAAAGCGGCTGCGAAATGTGAAGGCAGTGGAGCAAGTGGCAAGTGTATCCACGAACGGGTCGACGCAAGTGCTGACGTCAACTGGAGCGTCGTTCGAGCTCATGGCAGAAGTTGCGGAGTTTACGCGTGGCAGCAAAGTTGGCTTTGAAGTCCGTCGGAGCTCCAGCGGAGACGAAGTGACGACGATTGTGTACGACGACGCGAAGAAGAAGGTGATCATTGACCGCTCAAAGAGTTCGTCTGCTGACTGCGCGGTGTTTGCGGACAACCACGTGAAGCCCGTGTCGGACCCGGTGTGGGGCCACTTTTACCTCTACGACCTCTTCACGGGCACTGCCAAGAACGACATGTGTGAGGTCGCGCGCGAAAAACTGAGTTTCCACGT